GTTAAGTTTTAATTAATACAAATTTGTTTGAGTTCAAAGGAATAAAGTTTGAAGTATGACAGAAAATCTGATAATTTAATAGTCGGCTATTTTGGATAGGAAATAAAACAAGTCAGAGAAGCAGACTGTTGTCCACTGTAGATTCCTTTATAGACCAGGTACCATACATAATGTGCCTAGAAAAGTTTCTAACATTGTGACCAAGTTTTGCCAAATTCTTTGTTACATTTTCAGTGGCATATTTTGGACAATTTGATCTGAAGATTCTTAAAATTCTTGTTGCCACGGAAAATACATATAAGCCCAAGCTAATGAACATTTGTGCAGTATTAATCATTAATTTGTTTCCCTAGCTGCTGGAAAAGAACCATGTGGGCGAATAATAAGTCGCAACTAGGCCTATATATAGAATACAAGTACTAATGTACTTCTTTGATGAGTGACCTCCCTTCACATATCCAGTAACTTGGTAGAAAAAGAGAAATTATTTTCTGTTGCGTTAGTTGTTCTAAAAGTTGACAATTAGAAGAATTTGCATGATGTAAGCTAATATTATACAAGTAAACTCATTCTCATCGTGATCACTATTTTTATCTATCATGATAATGACACAGATTTTAATCACTCTGAAACGTGACGTGACTTGACGTCCCATTATCTTGACCATCATTCTCCTTATCTTTATGTCAAGTTAAAATTATATCTGCACTCTATTTACAGGTCATTTATAAGAGGTCTTAGTTATTGTCATAGGCAATAATTCAAACCTAACCATAACCCTAAATTAGTGCAATGGATTTGCCCTGATTTCAATTTGGAACAGTCCTATGTGAACATGAGGGATTTTTGGTAACAAAACAGTATAGCAGCCAACAGAATAGAGTCTGATGAGTCAAAAATATCAGACGTGTATGTTATAAACTCCTTGGAGTGAGACTAAAAAAAGTGATGGAGCACCACACTAAATGCCGTATTCCAGTATATACTGGACAAGGCCCTTGAATGATTAAAATCCTGCCTTTTCACCAGCTGAAAAACACTTCAAGATCTTATTCATTTGTTTACTCTGAACTATGTACGATCGTGAATGAAAATGTAAAAAGGGATATTTTTTTATTTGTGATCATTATTTCTGCAAGCATCTGGAGGTACTGCTCCAACACTGTATTGGGTTAAATCCATAGTTTTTTTGGTCATAAGCCTAACCAGCTGTCGTGTATAAATAACCAATAATTACCAATACCTACTTGACTGACTAATCCCACCTGATTTCTGAATCAGCAGTGGGAGACAAATGACCATTAAGACTCGATGTCCGAGATCAACTGTCACCGAGAAATTACGCCTGACCAGAGGATTGAACCAGTGACTCCTGGTTTACTAATCCATTGCTCTCCCTATTGAGCTAAGCAGACCAGGCATAAAAAAAGCACAAGGCAACTATGTATTAATAAGACTCGAGTATGGGCAGCCTGAATTCTGGTCCAAACTGGCCTGACTGTATTATTGGCATATACATTTGACCAGTTATTGTTACATTATAAACAGTCATAAAGATAAGCCAATTGTGAATTCTGTTTATTATTGAAGATCAATTCCATCAAATTTTATCAAAGATAACATTTAAATCCTTTCAGAAAATATAAACAAAATGTTATTACAAAAATTATTATTTCACAAGAAAATGTTAGTGTATAAAACGAAAATTCTCAAATTTACCATTTATGATGTTTGTCATACTGACTACAAAAGTCGAACATATGTTTTGATATTTGTTTTGTTCGTCAGGAGTACAACTGTACAAGTCCTAAAGTTTTACTGCTTAACCTTCCTCTGGCCAAGTTGCAATCTATTCTAGCAAATCGATTTATAATCTGATCCTTTTTTTCATAGATTATTGTATTGGATAAAAGGAAACAAAGCTTTAATCTGTTTTATTTGATTTATTCATGACAACTCATTATGCAAAAAAGATGTGTATTCATAACAAAGACTATACATGATTATACCATTTAAAGCAGTGACGTCAAAGTGGATTATTAATTTTTTATTAAAAAGAGATGCTTTGACCTTGAAAAACATTTTTTTTTTAAATTTGGTCTGTTGAGGTTAAAGTTACTGTAACACTTTAAATATTGTATGAGGCAACATCCCAGCTAAAATTACTAGTGGAGGGAACATCTTAGGTGCCCTTCAATGTATAATCATTAATATGTGGGTGCTAGAGTTAAACCACAAACCTTCCTTAAGCTAGTTGGGTAACTACCTCACATGAAAGAATGATCCAAGGTACCTACCGGGTTTAAAACCTGAAACAATTGCAAGTTTGAAAAAAAAAAAGAAAAAGATTTTACCCTTTAAATGTTACATGTATAAAATGAACTTGCCCTGGTATGAATCAAAATCAACTTGCCAGTGTATTTGCCCTTTTTTTTGCCATAGCCTTTATATTTCTTTAAATTAAGACAAATTTTGTGGTAGTAAAAATATTTTTTTCATCAAAAGTTAGTTAAATCCTACAAATACAATGTACTCTGAAACTACATCTTACAGTCCAGCGTGTCATTCTTTAGGCTTCATATCAACAATATTATACATGTATATTTAATAAAAATCTTTATTATATTAAGCCATTGCTGAAAATACCTTTTCAATAATGTACATGTAGAAGATACTTAGGCATGGAGTAAAGGGCGGACCCTGCCATTTTTTCTGCTTGTATTGTATCAAGAGACAAAAATTTATACAACAAACAAGTAAAATACCAAAATTCTGCTGCTGTACAACCAATCTCATTAAAATTAGATCATTGTTTTCGCTCCTTTACTCTTTGCTACCTTCAGCGAAGGGTAGTGGAGCGACAGCTAGAATATGATTTTAATGAGATTGCTGTACAACTGAGTTGAACATATGATAAATCTACCATAATTATACCAGTAGATATAAAATGAGCAGACCTTCCTAAGATACCTTTACCAGGGACTTTTTATATTTACCTCTAATGGGTTTTACTAGGCTAGAGCAAAGTTGGTTCTTCAGACCCTTGTGAGGCCCTGGTCTAGTAAAGGCCACTTGCAAAACTTTCATATTAACTTCAATAAAGAAAATGTTCCATTACATTAACAGCGAATAAATAAAATGATATAAAGTATAAAAAAAGTTGACTGACAAAAAACTATAAGTTTTGTGATTCACTGCATTTAGGGAATAATTTAAGACAAGAGGGCCATGATGGCCCTGAGGTCGCTCACCTGTATATAGCCCCCGTCCCCCGCCCCCCGGCCCAATTTTTACCCAAGGGCTTTTATTTGTTTATTTGAACAGACTTGGTAGACACCCATAAGAAGATGTTTCATGCAAAACATCTAAGTTCTAGCTCATTGGGTTTTTTAAAAGAAGATTTTTTAAGTTTTTACTATACACATATAGTTAAAAACAATGACACCCCTCGGGCAGGGCCAGTTTTGACCCCTGGGCTTTTATTTGAACAAACTTTGTAGATATTTACTTAAAGATGTTTCATGCTTAATATCTAAACTCTAGTTATTTGGGTTTTTTCAAAGAAGATTTTTAAGTTTTTGCTATGTATATAAGGAAAATCAATGACCCCCGGGGCGGGGCCAGTTTTGACCCCAGGGCTTTTATTTGAACATACTTGGTAGACACCCATTAGAACATGTCTCATGCTAAATATCTTAGCTCTAGCTCTTTGGGTTCTTTAAAAGTAGATTTTTTAAGTTTTTACTATATGCATATAGGGAAAATCAATGACCCCCTGGGGCGGGGCCAATTTTGACCCCAGGGCTTTTATTTGAACAAACTTGGTAGACATTCACTAGAAGATGTTTCATGCCAAATATCTAAGCTCTAGCTCTTATGGTTCTTTAAAAGAAGATTTTTTAAGTTTTTACTATATGCATATAGGGAAAATCAATGACCCCCCGGGGCGGGGCCAATTTTGACCCCAGGGCTTTTATTTGAACAAACTTGGTAGACATTCACTAGAAGATGTTTCATGCCAAATATCTAAGCTCTAGCTCTTCTGGTTCTTTAAAAGAAGATTTTTTTAAGTTTTTACTATATGCATATAGGGAAAATCAATTACCCCCCAGGGCGGGGCCAATTTTGACCCCAGGGCTTTTATTTGAACAAACTTGGTAGACATTCACTAGAAGATGTTTCATGCCAAATATCTTAGCTCTAGCTTTTTGGGTTCTTTAAAAGAAGATTTTTAAGTTTTTACTATATGCATATAGGGAAAATCAATGACCCCCTGGGGCGGGGCCAATTTTGACCCCAGGGCTTTTATTTGAACAAACTTGGTAGACATTCACTAGAAGATGTTTCATGCCAAATATCTAAGCTCTAGCTCTTACAGTTCTTTAAAAGAAGATTTTTTAAGTTTTTACTATATGCATATAGGGAAAATCAATGACCCCCCGGGGCGGGGCCAATTTTGACCCCAGGGCTTTTATTTGAACAAACTTGGTAGACACTCACTAGAAGATGTTCCATGCCAAATATCTTAGCTCTAGCTCTTACAGTTCTTTAAAAGAAAATTTTTTAAGTTTTTACTATATGCATATAGGGAAAATCAATGACCCCCCGGGGCGGGGCCAATTTTGACCCCAGGGCTTTTATTTGAACAAACTTGGTAGACACTCATTAGAAGATGTTTCATGCCAAATATCTAAGCTCTAGCTCTTAGGGTTGTTTAAAAGAAGATATTTAAAGATTTTTCTTTCGGTTGCCATGGCAACCAGAGTTCTGCATGGAATTAAATTCTTTGAACAATTTTTAAAGGTGACCACCAAAGGAACATTCCTGTGAAGTTTGGATGAAATTGGCTCAGTGGTTTATGAGGAGATGTCATTTAAAGCAAAAGTTTACGGACGGACGACGGACGACGGACGGACGGACGGACGGACGGACGCCGGACGAAAAGCGATCACAAAAGCTCACCCTGTCACTTTGTGACAGGTGAGCTAAAAACAGAAACACTTGAATAAAAGTGTTCAAGTTAAGGCTATCAAATGCAGCTCATTTATAATTCTACAAAAAATATACTAGATTAACAATGTGAAAATAGTCTGGTTTGCAAACACAGTGAATTAAATATCAAGAATATATTATTTTCAAACTATCAATCATTATATACACTCACACATAGACATATTAAAATGAGACAACAAAACATATTTGTAAAACACAAATGCCCCCTTGTATAAAATCTGTTATTGAGGTCAAATTTCCAAAATTTTGAAACATTGACCCTGAAGGTCAGTCATTTTTATGGGGTAAGGTCACAAATGCCCCAACATAAAATCTGTAATTAAATATCTAAGTTGCCAACAAATTTCCTAAATTTTGAAAATTTGACCTTGAAGGTCAGTATTTTAGGGGTTAAGATAACAAATGCCTCCATTTAAAATCTTACATTTAACCTTGAAGGTCAAAGTCATTTAGTGGTTCAAGTCATTGACTCACTATTTAAAATCTGCAACTGAATTATAAAGTTACAGAAAATTTCCTTAATTTGGAAAATTTGACCATAAAGGTCAAGGTCATTTAGAGGCTTAAGTCACATTTAAATTGTAAACTGAAGGCTAAGTTGTCCATGGACAGACAGAATTACAACATGCCTGCAGATGTATCAATACAGAGGCATAAAAAACCACAAAGCATTCCTAATGTGAGCTGTGAAGCTATCTCCTAGCATTTTCAATTTCTTTGTGACGAGTCTATGGAGTCACATTCAAAACCATCTTATGTGAAAAAATCAAATCTTACTCTGAAGTAACATAAATCTTTAAGTACTAGAAGCTGTATTTTAGTTTTAAATGTTTGGTGTTTTCTTGTGAAAGGCGCAGATATTTGACCAGGTGATTATATTTATTTTGCAATTTTCATGCAAAACTGTTGATCTTGACCATGTGAGTCTTAAATTTCTGGGATTTTCTATGAAACTACAGATCTAAACGATGTGAGCCATTCATTTCTTGGGTTTGTATGTGCAATTGCAGATCCTGCTGCTTAAGCATAGAAAAAAATTCATTAAGAAATAATGGAAATAAAATTAAAATGACAATACAAGTTAATATACAAACAAAATAATTACAGATAATACAGGGAAAACAATATGTATGGATGTACGAGAAAGCAGCAAAGAAAATGGGCGGGAAAAAAATAATCTTTCAGTATAATCAAGAAAAAACTGTCAGAAATTATATATGTTAAATTAACAGAAAAATATCCCTAACATACATGTAAGCCTTTGTATAAATTGAACACATCTTCATTTAAATGTACAAAGTATATTTATTAACATACTGATTATTATAAATAAATTGAAATTAGTTTTCAAGAATTTGAAAGAAAAATAAATATTTTAAAGGCAAAATAATATATATCAAAGTATAAATTGAGAAGAAAAAAAATTACTGAGCAGCTGTTTTCATTCATTCTTTATAAGCATGATAATTATTGTATTACCCTAAAATAGCATTTCCCAAAACCTCATTCATTCAAGACATGTATGCAATTCAATCATTCATAAGAAAATACAATCACTGACCATAAGGAAATATACATATATGTACTCACTGGGCCTTAAAAATATATGATTGAGATTCAAAAATTAATTTCAGCTAAAAAACAAAAGAACAAAATTATAGTAATTTTAAATATTTTGAATATAAGGACTTGACAGGTGTACCAACTTTTGTCTTGCAGCGTGGGCTTCTTATACTCCCTTCCAGTAAACAATCATAAAAATCAACGTCAATAATATTTGACCCAAAAATTAGCCAAATAACAAAGGCAATACTCTATCAATTAAGTATAATACCCTTGTAGACTATTTAGAAATGTATGACAAAATGATAGCTTAACAACTATGGTACAGAAAGGAGATGTGTCTCGTAGACTAAAATGACAAGATCTCAAACCTGCCAATCAATAACAAAATTATGGCAAAAAATTCTAGAATTTTGAAAATCTGACCCTAAAATGTCAAGGTCATTTTACAGTCAAGGTCAAAATAAGCTTTCATCCAGAGAGCTGTGTTCAAGGAGAAAGGCTTTAATTAACTAATGGAATAAAAATGTGAAGATCAAGATTCTTAAATGTCAAGGTCATTTCACAGTCAAGGTCAAAATAAAGCTTTCATCCGGAGATATGTTGTGTCCAAGTAGAAAGGCTTAACTAATGGAATAAAAATGTTTTATGGTCAAGATTAAAGTTGTCTACAGACAATCACGACAAACAGTACCCCTTGCACCTCTTTACCTTCCTAGGGGTCAAAAGGTCAGTCAATAAATGCAATTAACCAGATTCTTATTATAAAAAAATATAGTAACTTGACAACAATACAATTATCACAATCTGCTCAAGCGATATGTGTATGTATAAATACATGAAATTTTTAATCATGTTGACTGGTAATTTTTGCTTTGTACCAAATAATGGAGGTTAATTCTCTGTAGAACACAAATTCAAAGGCTTATTCTTAGTAACCCAGGCATATGTTGTTTTTTTAGATAATTAAGGTTAAGTATCATCCCAGCCATAAGTCAACTTCAAATATAGTTATGCATGCTTTATATTAATTACTTTACTAATTACTGTATATATTATAATATTACCACCAGAAACAATCATCTAATGAAATAACCACAAAGCAAATATTATCCAATCAACATGGTAAAATCAGACATTCTAAGCCAATAATTACCCCCGACTTATGGCCGAGGTTGTCTTATGGCTGAGTAATTACATAAATTTAACATTTTTAATATCAAATACATATACAATGGGAAACAAAACAACAATAGCACAATCATAAACATGTATACAAAACAATTCACTTCTTAACAATTAAAAATATACATGTACTCTCAAACAAACAATATAATATGAATACAACGTAACCCTCTGTGTGATCATTTGAAAGCCTGTCCTCCTTATTGCAATAGTGTCCACTTAAGATACATTTTACTTTTTTTCGTGAGTGACAACTCCATGGAGGAAAATACCAATTTACTATTAAAATATTAAGAAAAACAAGATGGACTACAATACTTGTTGGCACAACTACTTCGTCAAAAGTGCGAGTTAAGTGACGTCGGAAAAATCATGGATTAAAACAATTAAATTACTTTGTATTTTAGTTTTATTACATAAAAATAAATAGAACACGAAAGAGATCATGATGTTAATTACACAATACTCAGAAAATATCATAGAAAATTTTAGATTTCACTTAATAAACTTGTTTAAATTAAGCTTCTTCACATTTGTGCCGGCAGCACTTGTTTTTTAACATTATTCCATGGTTTTCCAGTCCTACGCAGCTCTAATTAAACCAGGTTCCCAATTATACTATTTATAAATAAAAACATTTCCAACATTCTTTTGAAAACAGAGGTGAAATATTTATTAACTTATTATGTTATTATTCTAATTATTTCATCCCAACAGTTCAATAATTGGTAGTCACTTAAATATCAAATTTTGTCATAAGTAAACAATCTTAATGTTGTTATATTTTGAAATTCCAACTTTTTTTCCGTTCATTGTGATATTCCACTATTTTTATTTAAATAAATTATTTCTGTGTCTAGACTAAACTTTAATTTTTTATGGTTATATTTGAAGATTTCCCTCCTTTTACAAACTTAAAATAAATATTCACCTTTTCTTATCCTTAGTTCAAAAATAGAAAGACAACTGTATCTTATTATAATACTAAATAACTTAACAATTTACACATATCTTCATCGTTGAGTTGAAAAAAATGCCTATTAAAAACAAACCAACCAAGCTCAAATCTTTGCTTGCGACATGGCGGAATTCTTTCAATGCACTTTTGGTATTAAATTATATAAAAACTTGGCCAGCGTATCCCCCATCATCTAATTACAGTCACAACCGTGTTATCGATCACTATTGCAGGACGCAGAATGAGCTTTTTGTCGAACTTTGAGGTATAGATCGCGCAGCAATCTCCTCCTGTTTACTGTAATTTACTATTTCCGCCTTTACCACTCGGTGATGTTGCTCCACATCAGGTTTCGTTAGCTTTATACCCAATATTTCCGCTGCGATTTTTTGAAAACACAATGAAACCTGAAAGTTGAAACAAAATAATGTCTTATACCTGACCATGATGGAAAAGCTTAGCCAATATGGAAACGAAGTAGATCAGATTCTTGGTGATATGAAAAATTAATGCATCGTTTTTTATAAAAGCACCATGAAGGCGGGGCAATATATAGCCAAATGCTGTTTCATGTAAAGAAATTTTTATCTTTCAAGTAAAAGAGAGGCCATTCATAAAAGTTTTCCGAAACAAGTTTCATTTAAATTATACTTAAATTTAAAATCTCCAGTGATAAGAAATTGCATATTAAGGTTTCTATGAATCAAGTTGTTGAGATACCTAATTCTCTTATTTTCAAATAAATTGATTCCTTTATATCCTGAATAAATTTCTGAATCAAGAACAATCCAAAGAGATTAAAGAAAATCATAATGACATTTATGTAGCTAACAGTGACCAAAATGAAATAGGGGCCATTTCTTTTGTTTACTAGAGATCTATTGGACCCTTATTCTATTAAGGAATGAACTTTTTTTTGTTTGATTTTGTTTTGTGTAGGGATCACTAGTTTCATGGGTTCAAATCCCATCGGGGGCAAGCTGTTATTTCCCAGAGCAAAAAACTTTACACTCATTGCTCAGTACTGGTTTGTTACAGGGACGGATTTGAAAGTGTAAGAACTTATAGCTTCCTACACAATCAAACTAAAATAAGTATTTCCTCTTTTCAAGAGTGTGTCTATTACCTTATAACTTCTTACACAATCAAACTAACATAAATTCTGTATAAACTAAATATTTCCCCCTCTTATACATACAGAGTCTCCAGTCTTTGCTGATACAAAATGACTAGACATGCCATGTTCCTGTGCAAACTTTTGATGTTTGTCTATTTTAACTGTTCTCATATGTTCAAGGTCAACTGAAAAATAAAAAGATATTTGACTGAATATTGTGCACCAGTAGAAGAGAATTAGAAAAATTTATTGAATTACTTAAACTTCCTTTTATCCATAGATTCTTTATCATCTTTCATCTTTTATTTTAAATCTAATCCCCTATGAGTACCAATCTTGCATATATAAAGGACGGTATAACATAAAGGAAAGTGTTACATCAATCCCTAAGACAAAAACAGTTGTCACACTAAAGTGGACTCAACCATTCTTAATGCTTGATAATTAAACAAGTCATGTAGGATTTTTTTAGTTCACAAAGGGGAATATTTCAATAAATATTATGTAAAAGTTCTTGGACTTGTTTAGAGATTTAAAGTTATGGCCTGTAAAAGACATGAATGAAGTAAAAAAGAATATGTTAAGTGGATTACGAAATACAGTAAATAGTTGCATTGAAAACCTACTTGGGTACATGTAGCATTGTTATACTAAAATGACATTTATATTAGTGTATAGCTCCGTAATTCTTAAAGTTGCATGCCTCCAGATGTGCCAAAATATTTCAAGAAAATCAAACTTGAGAAAAATGTTCAAAGACTTTAACAAAAGAAAAAAGATACAAGTAATTATGAATAATTTACATGTTAAGAGCAATCAATGACTGATTTTGCAACTTACGAAACATCATATTTCTACTGAGTAACTACAGTTATGGCTATTTATGCAATATTTTGACCTTTTTTTGGTAATTCACATGGATTGTAAGAGCTGTTTGCAATGTGTAAATTACTTTCTTTGTTCACTTCACAATTATTTTACTTTCAAATACATTATCAAAATTTTAATGAAAATTAGCATGAATCTGGAGCCATGCTACTTTGAAACACCCAAGCTGAAAAGAAAACAACCTACAACAATGACTGTTGCAAATTCTTACTTTTATTTCCAACAAGAGCCATATGTGGCAGCCTTTCTTTACCAAGCACTTTTCGTATAGTACCGTACCAATCTTCTAAATTGTCAAAACTATTGTGATTTGTTATATCATACACCATCAGAGCACCCTAAAAAGATAATAAAAAAACCAAATATGAGCCGCGTCATGACAAAACCAACATAATGGGTTTGCGACCAGCATGGATCCAGACCAGCCTGCGCATCTGCGCAGTCTAATCAGGATCCATGCTGTTCGCTATCAGTTTCTCTACTTGTTAAAGGGTTTGTAAGCGAACAGCATGGATCCTGATCAGACTGCACGGATGCGCAGGCTGGTCTGGATCCATGCTCATCGCAAACCCATTATGTTGGTTTTGTCGTGACGCGGCTCAAATCCTCTAAACAAGCATCAATTAACAAAATTCTTACCCTAGACCTCAGCATATTTTTGGTTATCTACATTTCTATGCATCTTTTTGTATCAAATGATTAATTTTGTGTTATAAAAAAAATAATGAAGGCTTCCTTAATTGTAGACACAGTCCTATGTAACCCATATAGGGCTCATATTACCTTGCATGTGCAATAAATTCTCATAATTCCTGTATTCTTTGCACACTTTCATAAAGAATATTTCATAAAATCTCAAAGATTAAGAAAATTTCATTATTATGAAAATCAATTCATAACACAAATTCAATAGGGAGATACTTCACCTTTACCCTGCTGATTAGTCTTTGTCACCAGTATAGAGCCAGGCCATCCTGCACATCCGTGCAGCCTGACCAGGCTCTATATTGTTGGCTGCCCTTAAACTCCAAATTCTCACCTTAATATACCTAAAATTGAGAATGGACTGTTCCAAAATGGAAATTGGAAGAGTCCATTTAAGAAATTCAGCAGGCTAAAAGTTAAAACTTAATTTCAAAACAAGATATGTTTGTAAAACATGTATGCCCCCTATCAGCAGCCAATTAGTCATGTGAAAAGGTTATTATGCATGACTTCTGACCCAGTGATCAAACAATTAATAAGGGTTATCAAGTATCTACTGGTCATGACCTTAACCTTTGACCCCTTGACCCAAAACTCAATAGGGGTCATCTGCTGGTCACGACCAATCATCATACAAAGTTTGAAGTTCCTAGGCCTAAGTGTTTTTTCGTTATTGATCGGAAACCATTTTAACATACAAGGTCAATGTGACCTTTGACCCCTTGACCCCAAAATCAATAGGTCATCTGCTGGTCATGACCAATCGCCATACCATGTTTGAAGTTCCTAGGCCAAAGGGTTCTTAAGTTATTGATTTGAAAGCATTTTTACCTACAAGGTCAATGTGACCTTGCCCTTTGACCCCTTAACCCCAATATCAATAGGGGTCATCTACTGGTCATGACCAATCACCATACCAAGTTTGAAGTTCCTAGGCCTAAGGGTTCTTTAGCTATTGATCGGAAACCGTTTTTACCTAAGAGGTAAATGTGACCTTGACCTTTAACCCCTTGACCCCAAAATCAATAGGGGTCATCTACTGATCATGACCAATCACCATATCAAGTTTGAAGTCCCTAGGCCTAAGGGTTCTTTCGTTATTGATCGGAAACCGTTTTTACCTACAAAGTCAATGTGACCTTGACCTTTGACCCCTTAACCCCAAAATCAATAGGGGTCATCTGCTGGTCATGACCAATCACCATACCAAGTTTGAAGTTCCTAGGCCTAAGGGTTCTTTAGTTATTGATCGGAAACCGTTTTTACCTACAAGGTCAATGTGACCTTGACCTTTGACCCCTTAACCCCAAAATCAATAGGGGTCATCTGCTGGTCATAACAAATCACCATACCAAGTTTGAAGTTCCTAGGCCTTAAGGTTCTTTAGTTATTGATCGGAAACCGTTTTTGCTTACAAAGTCAATGTGACCTTGACCTTTGACCCCTTGACCCCAAAATCAATAGGGGTCATCTACTGGTCATGACCAATCACCATACCAAGTTTGAAGTTCCTAGGCCTTAAGGTTCTTTAGTTATTGATCGGAAACCGTTTTTGCTTACAAGGTCAATGTGACCTTGACCTTTGACCCCTTGACCCCAAAATCAATAGGGGTCATCTACTGGTCATGACCAATCACCATACCAAGTTTGAAGTTCCTAGGCCTAAGGGTTCTTTAGTTATCACTCGGAAACCATTTGGTCTACGGACCGACGGACCGACGGACCGACAAGTGCAAAGCAATATACCCCCTTTTCTTCGAAATGGGGGCATAATTATGTTTCTAAATCAATTAAACTGACACATTATGATTATGTTTTTTCTATGATTCCTTGACACTGTGATTCCAAAAGCTGCAATATCTGTCATCAAATGATATAAAACTCCTTTTCCAATTTAGATTAATACTAAAATTTCATTCATAATGAAAACTGCCAATAATCCTATTGTAAATACATAAGCAAAGGTGTCAAAAATGTTCACCTATCTATCTTAATGCCATATATAGAAAAAGACTTACATGAACACCATAAATATAGTTTTCCAGCATAGTACCTCCTAGAGTTTGTCCACCAATATCCCATACCTGCAGTGCTACATTTACATTCCCTGAATAAAATTTTAAAAAAATTTAATTTAATCATATTTTACAATAAGTTTAAGTGAAATTACACCCAATATTTATAACTTCATTGAATAGTACATAAAAGAAGAAATATTGATATGGTAAACCTCCGATTGTTGAAGATTATCAGGTACTTTTATATTTCTGTAACTTGAAACTGATACTGTACCTTTCACCTTATCTTAACCCTTAAATTGTAGATTCAATCTAGACAAAAACATTAATGAGCCGCACCATGACAAATCAACATAGTGTGTTTGTGACCAGCATGTATCTGCTCAGTCTGATCAGGATCTATGCTATTTGCTAGTTTCTCTACTTGTAATAGGGTTTGTAAGCGAACAGAATGGACCTGATCAGACTGCGTGGTTGCAAAGGCTAGTGTGGATCGATGCTGGTCGCAAACAAAATGTTGGTTTTGTTATGGTGCGCTCAATTTTGTCTCTTTATGTAAAATTTAAAAATATGTACTGACTGAATAGTGAAAAATGCAAACCCTGTTCAGACGGCACAGGTGTGCTGGCTTATCTTTGCCGACACTCACCAGGTAACATGGGTATAAACATTTGCCACCAGCAGTCAAAGGGTTTATACAATGTATGCATAAAATGGTTTAACCTAGCAAAAATATGAAGAACAAAAATATTGAAAGTTCTGCATATTTCATCTCATACAAAATCGGTTACAACTGAAGAATCAATTATAACTGGAAGGAGCTAACAGGAAAAAAGTAAGTACATGTGACTGAATACAGACAATATTAAAGAAGCCAAAAAGTATGACTCATCAAATTTTTAAGAATCTAAACTCGATCAATTCTACTGATATTAAATATTAAAATTAGACCTGGTAGTACAATCCTTTTCAGGAAGAAGTCAAGACCAACAGTCTGTTTATATTGCTTTCCAAACTGTTCTTGAGAATATCTTGTAGCTATAGATGTCTGAAAAAAAACACAAATAAAACTGTGTATGTAAAATAAAACTTAGGCATTTCTTAGAAGGTTTTTACCTAACTTTAATTTGACACACCTCATGTCATATGAAAAAACTAGGCTAACATTAAATATTAAAATGCCTTCAGATGAGCAGACAAAGCTAAGGTTTAGTACATCTGACTCCTAATCCATCAGTGATGTGATTCTCTTATGACTTCCACAATCTACACTGGTGTGATTACTGGTTACAAAATTCAGAAAGCAGTCAAATGGTGAGACTTAATAAAGCAATGTTAAGGTCCCAAAATGGGGTTTGACATCAGTAGGAAATAAACAAAACATTACCACAGTAGGTCTGACTAGGTAAGCAATATAGTCATAAAAATTTTTCTGAGACGGTTTATTTTGAATAAGAACTTGAGGAGGTCATGTATACATTTATCCCATATACAAAATTTTTCTAAGCTTTCAGGTGGCCAAAAATGCATTTGGGACAGTCATTTTCGCCTATAGATGCCTCCAAATGATATCCCCGGGTAAGGGCTGTTTTTAGCATACTTTAAAATATCTATAGAAAATGCAGAAAGTAAATGCTAAATTAATTTAGAAATGTAAATATATCATTTGCTCAACTGACTAGTTTTCCAAAATTCAAAACATTTTCTACATTCATTTAAAAGTTAACTTCAATTTGGAGCTGTGCTACTATTAAATTAGTCAAAATATATCTATCTACATATCTATCTTCTGTAAATGTCAAACCCCTCGCGGGGACGTGGACATACTCTTTTTTTCAAGGTTGATCTCATGTATTTCAATGTTGATTGTACAAGAATAAAATCAACTTGTGTTATTATTTAATCTCTTATTGATGTACATGTATTGTATTTTATAAATTGTTTGTACATTGTTGAGGCTCACAGGGAAGACTGGGCTTGCCCAACTGTGTTGCCTCATTAAATAAAGTTGTTTCTTACTTACTGACATGTCTGCGCGTCAAAAATCGCCAGGAAATTAAAAAGACTTGTTTAAAAAGAGGATAAAAGAATATAAAAATTGTTAAAAATAGGGGGCTGAAAATTGGGGTGAGATATGTTCAATGCAAGCTTTGGCTGCACTGAACTACTCCGGGGTAGGGAGTTGGGCAACTGCAGGGGGTAAATGGTTCCAGTAGTTTACCGTCCTAGGAAAGAAAGAGAATTCATAATAGTCTGAAGTTGCTGTGAGTAACCTATAACATAAGGGATGACCATGGCGTGATGTTCGGGAGAGGGGTGTCATATATTCTTCTATGAGGATAGCAACCAGACCATGGTGAATCTTATAGAAAAGGGATAACCTAGCAACTATACGTCTGAGTTCCAGTTTTTGAAGCTTAAGGGAGTGAAGCATGTCAGTGGCGCTAGAGGTCTGACCATAATCTAGCTTGATCCATCGGCTGCTCTTCTTTGGACATTTTCAATTTGATGTATTTGTGTTTTGGTGTGGGGAGACCATAATTTGGAACCATATTCAAGCTGGGGTCTGACTAATGTCTGGTAAGCCATGGACTTACTTAAGTTTGGTTAGCTTTCTTTGATGTCCTGTTTATGTAAGGTTTTCTGATATATCCATACTTAGGTATTTAGCTGAGGAGTGAGGTAACTGATTCTTTTTGGACTCCATGAAGGTAGTATTGTGTTGAGATAGGATACTTCCTTTTAGCGATGTGGATAACTTGACATTTGGAGGGGTTAAATTCAATATCCCACTCCAATATATTGGCGTGCCAAAGCTAGATTCTGAGATGTTTTTGTTTGGGTCAGATTATCTCATCGCCATAGATCTATGTTATATCCTTTGTAAAAGTGGGAGGTCTTGCAGTCAAAACATTAAGGCTAGTGAGTCTATAGCCTAGGCACTAACAAGAGACATAGATAACATATGTTATCTATGTCTCTGCATTAACAAATTTTAGAAGTTTATGTTCAATGTTAAAATCTTCAATGTACTTTAGCCATGTGGGATTTAAACACAGTTAACAGACATAACTGTAAGAAGGAACAACACAAAAAAATGAATGACAACATGTAGACACAGTTGTCATTGTATTTACAAGGGGTGGATTGACTTATCAATTTTGGGGGATGAACTGTCTGGAGGGGTGAGTTGTCTTGGCTTTTTGGGGATGAATCATCTGGGGGGTGAGTTGTCTTGTTTCCATTTACAACATAGTACTTTTGTGATTTGTCTTATATTTTTTTACAGTGTTTTAGGTTCTATCATATTTTTTTACAGTGTTTTAGGTTCTATCACTGTCTATTTCATACCCACCTTTCCTGATGCTCCATCACCCATTATAACAATTTTCAATTGTTTGTCTGGAGTCTCTTCCTCTGAATCAGACATTTTCAGAGACTCACTTGTGGCAATATAAATAGAAAAAATAAAGGAATTTTGAAAATTAGGTCAAAATGTCCTCCATATTGGATTATTTACTTCCTCTGTTGCTGTGCAACGAAGTAAATTGGTCTTTAGTGACAATATATCGAATCTTTGAATAGAAAACTATGATTGATATTAAAAAATATATTGACTTGAATGTATTAACATTGTTAAAATTGGACAAGAAATCATGAAAATTATCATATTTTCACACTAGTTTGGAGGCTATAATTTGAAAAATCTACACGTCATGAAAATAGAAAAATTTATCCAACAGGTGCTCTCAACTGAACCTGATTGTCAATTGTTATCAGTTACACGGATTTATAAATCCGTGACAGTAATAAGATAATAGTTAACAGAATAAATATTTCAACTTTGTAATTTGTACCAATTCAAACACATAAACAGTCTTTATCTATTCTTTTCACTCTAACGTTTATCACGATCGTGCAGAAATTACGATGCACAATCAATGTTTACAAATGGAGGACAGAACAAATTTGTAGACTTTTATTGTGTATCTCCTCCGTAATCTTGATCTGCACGGTTATTTAAGGCTTGAAATGGATGTCACATATGGGTTGTTGTCAAGCCTGGTAAAAACTCGTTCAATCCAAAGAGTGCTATCACCTATTGCATCCCAGGTACGTCTGATTATTGAGTCACAGGACAAACAGGTAGCAGGACACTAATAGTATGCCAAAGTAATTCATGATATTGTGAATAGAATCTAGTTGTTTATCCAAAGAAATATTGATGTATTTGATTTTGATCTAGCTTCAGATGATGAATTGACTTCCCTGTATGAAAAAGCCTATAGCAAGGGGAAGTTAGACAAACAAACTAAAAATCAATGGATTGTCTTGAACATTTTTAGGTTTAGCCCATTTCCTGATCTAGACTGTGTGATTACTGGAGGTTACGTATCATTTTTGGAGGTTACGTACCACATATATATTTTTAAGTATATATGTACCATTGACATATTCAGATATTTTCATCTAATTTCTATGAAATATATACAGACTAAATATTTATGGCTTAATAAATATAATAAAAAAATTAATGAATGAATTATTACATTTGTATCACTTATTGACCTTTTCGAAAACCTAGCTAAACACCGTTTTCCGGTACGTTGCGGATTTAGCTCTGGGGAATTACACCAAATGAAGTACATAACACAGTTACATGATATTTCTATTTTTCTATCATTATTTTACCGTTTAAGGTGAAAAAAATTGATGTTTTTGAAAATTATCAATATTCCTTGCAAATTGCAAGTTTTTGTAAAAAATAAATTGTTTATAATGAAAATCAATAAAATTTAAACAGACATAGTGGAATCAATAAGGTTATTTTCAGCGTAAACTTGTGTATTTACTTTATTTTTTTGTATGGAATTATTCATACAATGATATTCAATTATTTTCTTATAAAGAAATAACTGTTTTATTCCATTTAATTTTAAAAAAGGCCGAAAACATTGAGTTCGCTATTACACTCCATTAGGTGAATTCCCCAGAGCTATGTACAGAAAGTACCGGAAAACGGCGTTTAGCTAGGTTTTCGAATTCGTGAATTTCTTTAAATACATATCATATCAAAGCGATCTTAAATGGCAATATATGTAGTAGTTTACCTGAATCTATGAATGATTATTAAATAGTCAGAAATGAGTAATTAATGATTAATCAAACAATTAAGGTAATATTATAACAAACAAATAACAAACTATGAAATATTATCATTGTTATTATGTTATAATTGTAATTTCATTATAAAAATACAATAGACCGATTAATGCACAAATTTAAAGAAAATTTATAATGATTGTTTTATGATATATCCCTTTATCAACTATTTCTGTATATGTGGTACATAACCTCCAAAAATGGTACATTTATGCAGTGGTACATTTCCTCCATGCTACGAAACCTTCAAATTCCGACAACATCTTAGCAACTGGAAGATAACCAAGTACAGTTGAATGATATAGAACTAATCATTTTTAATAATGATGACATAATTCTAGTCAACATTTCAGACAAAACAAATTGGTATCATATTTCTTAATTTTAATGACTATGTTTCTGTAGAAAATAAATTAAATTACAAAATGACTGTTGCTAGAATGCGTTATTCTGAGATGTTATAGGCCTCATAATACAGTATACATGTACAGTGTTTATGTAAGTAGGTAAGTTTTAAGACATGATTGTATCTTACACACTGTCAAAGAAAACACATCATTATTTACATTTTGTGATCATATTACATTGCTAGAATGCGTTATTCTGAGATGTGCTTAAAGGACATTAACCTCTTAACACCTTAACAGGATTAATTTTAAATATGTACATGTATGAAGGAATGCTGATAAAAACTTGATCAATAAATAAATGATTGATGTGATTATTGACAATTCTAAAAAAAATTAGATTTGTGTCAATGTTTCTTGTGTATTTTAAATTGTCCAAAGACAATCATCCCAGTAAAATAGTTGATACTTTTAAGTTTTCTGACTGAGTATTAGGTATTTTTACTTTTTTATTTATGTAGAAATATTATTATAATTTTCTTTTTTTTGGTGGGTAAAACATCACATCTCATGATCTTGTGTTCATTCATTGAGTTTATTTTGATTTTACAATTAACTAAAAAGTTATATCTTAAGTTTTTAGAACATATTTTTTGTGTTGATAAATTATTCAACCATAAGTTTTATGGACATGTCTGTCATGAATATCATTTTGCAGATATCCTTGTTGATCATTTTGAATGAATCTGAAGATGGTACCCAGCAGATGCTGCATGGAGAGATGGTTCCCTGTGCTAAGACAGTGATGCTGGCATCACATAAACTTGCTACAGTGGCTAAACAACATGCTGAGACTTCTAGTGATCAGGTACAGTCATATATTATGATTTATTATGATGTGCCAATATGGTTTAATTTATATTATGGGTGTGAAATATGGGGAACAAAAGAGATGTAAAATGTTTATGAATATATAACACCTTGTATAAGTTATATGCTCTGTTCCTGCTTTACTGGTCTTATATGTAAATGTGAAACATGTAACTGAAATCTGAAAGTTTTCAGTATCTTTTTCATGTAATAGAATTTATTTCCCATACCATTTTGTTCTAGTAAAGTTTGGTATTAATCATGATATAGAAATTTATAGTATACAGCACTTCTGCTATTAAAGCATTAAAGTGAACATACATGTATCAATGCCAAACATAAAAATGGATCTCCTTAGTGTGTGGATTGATTGTTTCTTAATAATGTTTATGCAGATTTTGATTAATTTATGAATGGAAGTTTTTCTTTTAAATTTCTAAGGAGTTTAAAGCACAGACTATCAGTGCATGTGAAGTGCTGGAACTGTCCAGTTCAAATCTGTACATAGCATCAGAGAGATTGGAGGCCTCCAACTCTAGCAGAGAAGCCAGGAGTAAACTTGTACAAGCCAGCAAAGATGTTCTACAGGGAACAATGAAGGTGATTTTACATAATGCTTATTTTATTTGAAGTATTTATATTACGTTACATTTCTCTTGTCCCTTACACTTACAGAAATGGGTCCAAATCTCGCATATGATTCCTTTACCATACTTGTAAGAAAATTAACCACCTAGATTAACCCATACCACATTAAAGGCAAATAACACCCCAAATACTAATACATTTTTACTTCATTGGAAAGGCAAACATGAATTTTATAATATTTTAATAATGGATTTAGAGTATGTTAGATGCTTGTTACCTGAAGAAAGTATTGAAATAATCTGTCATTAAAATAGCAAAATGAAAACAAAGTAGTATTCTGACTCCCATATATTTACTTATTCACTATAACTATACTAATTGCCAAAAAGACAACAGATGAAAGAGATGGTTCAGGTAATTGGCAATGAGTAACTTATTGAATACTATAAAAGTACACCAAAATTGAAAGCTTTTGAGAAATATTAAAAAAACATTCCTGAGATGTAATAGGCCTCATGATACAGAGTACATGTTTAAGATTAATATTGACTAGTTTTATAGGTAAGTTTTAGGAAATGATTGTATCTTACACACTGTCAAAGAAAACACATCATTATTTACATTTTGTGATCATATTACGATAATGAAACTACTACTTGTTTACATAAGAACTGTTTGTTTGTAGGTTTTGTTAGTGGCAGATGACGCGGAGATTCGTAGGTTGATTACAGCAGTCCATATTGTCACCGAGAAACTGAGTGCCCTTGACATTTGTGGCAATATGAAAGAGCTGGTACACAAATTTAAGGTAAGTATTGTAACTTTGTAAGAAATGAATTCACTTTACTGTATCTTCTTATGCCTGAATTGTAGGGAATAGACAATGTATTTATATTGACATGGATAGTGTTTTGGGTGTGAATGTTTGCAAAATAGTTGGACTATCCTACTCAAGTTAACATATAGAAATAGCCAGTTTTCAAGAATGAAAAAAATGACCTGCCTTGTTAGTATTTCATCAAAATTGATATTAGTGTATAATGATCAATGCATTGTGAGTCTTAAATACCATTATAATCTGTGTGTTGCTCAGTTATGGTTTTCTCTTACTGTAGGATAGACTGTTTTTAAATTATAATTTTCTGTCCAGAGTCATATCCTAGTATAGAGGTATGCAGGAGTTACTTCCCTTTTATAAGATCTGCCATTTGTTCTGCCCATTATCTTTTTAGCTCACCTGTCACAAAGTGACAGGGTGAGCTTTTGTGATCGCTTTTCGTCTGGCGTCCGTCCGTCGTCCGTCCGTCCATCGTCCGTAAACTTTTACTTTAAATGACATCTCCTCATAAACCACTAGGCCAATTTCATCCAAACTTCACAGGAATGTTCCTTTGGTGGTCACCTTTAAAAGTTGTTCAAAGAATTTAATTCCATGCAGAACTCTGGTTGCCATGGCAACCGAAAGAAAAAACTTTAAATATCTTCTTTTAAAAAACCCTTTTAAAAAAGAGCTAGAGCTTAGAAATTTGGCATGAAACATCTTCTAGTGAGTGTCTACCAAGTTTGTTCAAATAAAAGCCCTGGGGTCAAAATTGGCCCCGCCCCAGGGGGTCATTGATTTTCCCTATATGCATATAGTAAAAACTTAAAAAATCTTCTTTTAAAGAACTCAAAGAGCTAGAGCTAAGATATTTAGCATCAAACATGTTCTAATAGGTGTCTACCAAGTTTGTTCAAATAAAAGCCCTGGGGTCAAAATTGGCCCCGCCCTGGGGGTCATTGATTTTCCTTATATGTGTATAGCAAAAACTTAAAAAATCTTCTTTGAAAAAACCCAAATAGCTAGAGTTTAGATATTAAGCATGAAACATCTTCTAGTAAGTGTCTACAAAGTTTGTTCAAATAAAAGCCCTGGGGTCAAAACTGGCCCCGCCCCAGGGGTGTCATTGTTTTTAACTATATGTGTATAGTAAAAACTTAAAAAAATCTTCTTTTAAAAAGCCCAATGAGCTAGAGCTTAGATGTTTAGCATGAAACATCTTCTTATGGGTGTGGGGGGGGGGGCTATATACAGGTGAGCGACCTCAGGGCCATCATGGCCCTCTTGTTTTAAAATGTATCTGTAACTTCATGCATATATTCCATAATTTTTATTGACTTAATTTATACATCATAGTATAGAGGTATTCAGAACTTACTTCCATTTTATTAGAACTGCCATTTTGTATTACACAGTTATCTTTTTTCTAAATGTATATGTGACTTCATGTACAATTTTTCTTGTGAGATCTTTACCTAATTTATACATCTTTATTTCAAAATTAACTACCAGAGTTAATATGTGAATGAATTGTTTCCTGGTTTAATTTCATTTAATGAATTTGATGATCTGAGTATGTTATAACATGCGTTCACCACATTTGAATCCTTAAATGAGCCGCGCCATGACAAAACCAACATAATGGGTTTGCTACCAGCATGGATCCAGACCAGCCTGCGCATCCACGCAGTCTGATCAGGATCCATGCTGTTCGCTATCAGTTCGGGTTTGTAAGCGAACAGCATGGATCCTGATCAGACTGCACGGATGCGCAGGCTGGTCTGGATCCATGCTGGTGGCAAACCCCATTATGTTTGTTTTGTCATGGCGCGGCTCAAATTGTGATTCTTATAGTAACATCATTAGGTAATTTTATGATAATATTTTAATGTAATTATATTTCAAAAGGATGTCCTTTACTATATGAGCCATTTCGATGAACTCTTGTCAGTTTTGTGGATTTTACATCAAGAAAATTCAAGATACCAAATTTATTATCACTTGTATTCCAAGATAAATATTTCTTAAGCTTTACTTAAATAATTTGTGGGGGAACATTGTTCAATGAAATGGCTTGTTTTGAACATTATTTAGACATGAATATGAATTGATCTCAAGTTATTGAATCTTGAAAATTTTGTATTCTATAGGACTTTACTAACGCACTGGCAGTAATGACTGGTATATGTGACAAGCGACAAAGGGACCTAATCCATTCCAGACAAAGGGAGAGAATCATTACAGCAATGAATATTTTAAAGAAAAGTATATCATCACTGAGTATAGCAATGCAAAACTCTGTAAAATACAGTCATAACCCACAAGCACAGGTAACTTAACCCTAACTACACTAAATATCTTAAATGGACTTGTCCATCTTTCAATTAGGACAAAACCATTCATCATTTTTAGGTAAAATTTCAACAGAAATACTGACTGAATAGTGAACAGTACAAACCATGATCAGAAGGCACATAATTATGTGCCAGCTAATCTTGGTCTGCACTGGTACATGGGTAGAATCAGTTGCCATTAAAGGTTAAGAAGTACCTACATATGACATGAAACTTAGAATTGGTAATAAACCGTTGTTTAATATTGATTTTTTTAATATACTATTCTTTTGTATGCTAACTTTGAATAATTGTCATCAAATTCAGGTGAAAGTCTTGAATCGAAATTTTGACTGGTTCACTTATTTATATGCCATTGTTTGTTTTTCACACTGTTTACTTTGTTTGTATTGAAAACTAGTTTACTTCCAGTAGTATTTCAGACTGATTAACTACGTACAACATGTTTGTATTTGAAACTAGATTATTTATTTTATATTTCAGACTGATTTACTTTGTATTTTTGAACTGAATAACTTTGCTTTAGACTGATTAACTTGGTTTATATTTGAGATTTGAGACTGGTTTACTCTATTTATATTTCAGATGGGTAAATCTTACATTGTAAATGAAATACAGTCTGCACTGGGAGATATAATAGATGCTGCACAGAACAGAGATACTGATGAGGAAGATATTGATCTGGAACAACCTGGAAAATTTGTCTCCAGTATTGATATGGTATGTTTTCAAAAATATTATGTAGTACATGAACTGAACTGTTCAGCTGAGCAAAAAGTGCTCAAGGTGAGCTATTGTGATACCCCGACATCTGGCGTCAGTCATCCAATTGTTAACATTTATACGTAATCAACATCTCTTCTTAAACTGCTTCGACAACAGTGATTTAACTCTACAAGAATGATCCTTGTGTGGTCCTCTATAAAATTTGCTTATGTAGTTGGCCAGTCAACAAGTTGGTCACCAGAACTAAAGATAGAGAATTTTCTTCTGAGCTTCACATTTTGCATTGTGTTTTCTACAGGCACTTGAGGCACTCGGTGAAGAGAAGCGTTGTGACCTCCATGTTGACCTTGAGATGTGGACGGAGGAAGCAGTTAGACACAGTATGACTGTTGCACATTTGTGTTATGATAATCACCGAGATCTTATCATCAAAACCTGTCAAAGGGTAATATACGTATTTATTATACCTCATGTAAACTTTTTACTTTATAGCCTAATGTGAAGTCACATTTTGTTATTTCGATCTATCATCTGGGAATGAATATCACCTGGTCAATAATTATTTTTGCAATATTCCCCAGGGGAAGTGATCTTATTTAAGCAAATGTAATGTTCTAGTTCTCTCCCCTAGCTGCAGTCGGTGATGAATGGCTCTCGAAGTAAAAAATTCATAGCAGTGAAAAATTGGGTGTTATTTATCGGGTTGCTTATATGTACTATTACCCTGAGAGACATGTGTAATTTTTATTATATTCAAGGTCTAAGATGAAAGAGAATCCGATGAAAGAGGTACCATTCTACAAAATAAAAAAGTAACTTCAAAATATTGGTACCGTCTGAAGATAAAAATCTTTACATAACTGCTCAGTTAAAAAAAAGAACGGTTTCAAATTTTCAGTCTGAATTAATTTCTTCAGTGATATTCTTTATATTTTATATCCTAGGTAAAGGTTCACTTGAAATGTTTGCCAGACTTGTAATATATCTATGGATGTCAGTGTAGTAGATTAGAAGAATAGCATTATTAGTTAGGATTTATGTAAAAAAAAATACATTTTTTTTCTGTCAAATGTTCCATAATGCTGCAAACTGTTAACTTTTAGCCTGCTATGGTAACAGAATCTACCCATGTGACAAGTGCAGACCAAGATCAGCCTTATAGTTCATGCTTTCTGATCATGGTCTGTACTGGTCGCTCTTCAGTCAGTATGTATCTTGAAATTTTACATAAAAAAATGAATATTTTTTGTCCAGATTAAAAGGTGGAGAAATCCATGCAAGATATTGAGTATGGTATGGGTAAATATGTATATGACAAAGTCTTAAGCAGGCATATAGATATCCTATCCATTCAACAATAGCTTGTATAAATTTAATCCATTAGACGACTTCTCAGGGTAAATGGGTCAAAGATCGCAAAAGAGTTATTTATTTTCCGATAATAAGACATTCAAAAAAGTTAGAAAAAATAGAAATATTTATTGGATTTGACAGTAGTAGTCAGAAATGGTATAAAAATATGGTAAACAATTGGAAGATGGTCAGTATTAAACGTTTCACTGTAAATTACACATATTTCAGGTAATACAAGTAAAGAGTAGAGTCATACAGCAGTTTAGAACAATGAAAAGTGATGGGAACCAGTCACAGGTCAGCGATGATTATGACGATGTTTGTGAACTGTTGACGGATGAATTCTGCGAACTAGAGAAGAATGTGAACATATCGCTGTTACATCTTGTCGTGGAATTCTTCAAAGAGACCACAGAACCCCTTGAGAGGCTTGTCAAAAAAGCAGTGTATTCTGACATGGTAATACATACAACTACATGGTTCACATAAATGGTTTATTTTATCATGTTTATCTCTTTTTCACTGCTGTGGAATTGAATCCGGCCAAGTATTTTAGATTCCTTTGTATGAGAAAGCTATTCACCTTGCTTACATTTTGTCTGTAACTCTACTTGCATGCTCATAAATGCCTAAAATTATGAAAAAAAAGGCTGAAGAAGAAGATGATGATGGGGATGTTGATGGTGATGTTGATTTAGGTGATGTTGATAATGTTGATGATGATGATGATGATGATGTTGATGTAGGTGATGATGGTGGTTATGATGAAAATGATGAATTGTTGTCATTGAAAATGATAATGATTATATGTTGTCAAGGATAATGATAAAAAATTATCAGTGATGTCGATGATGATAATGAAAATAAGCTAATTTATTTCTGTCCCTATAAATAAGAAAAATGTTAATATTTGACAACAATATTATCTTTTCCATCAAAATAAATAATGTTTAATGAGATGCTTCAGGTCTTTTACAATCATGAAACTATTTGGTTTTCGCAGTTATTTTATTATGTGGTTTTATTTGCCTGAATTGAACACAATTAGAGATGAATGAGATTCATAAAAACTGTTTTACTCTACAGGATGGTATTTTAGAACAGAGTGACCCTAGTGTGTCAGACTTTGAGGATCACGCTGAGAAAATCTGTCAGATAGCAACCCTTGCTGCAGCTAGTTCTACTGATTCCAGGCGTAAGTTGACACAGTGTTTCATGATAAATCTGTTTCTGTTTTTACAGACTTGCCCACTTAAACTCAATCCTTAACTTGTCAGATATCATAAAAACTTTGTGTAGGTTTTGTGATCATTTATGTAAATGATTTGTTTAAGTCTGTACATGTTCATAGAAATAATATTTCCAAATAATGCAGAGAAGGGCACCTGAGGTCTTTCTCCACCAGTACAGCTGGAAGGCTGCCTTATGACCTAAATCTATCACAAACGCAAAGATTTTTTGGTTTACGGTTTGCAAATGACTACTAGTCACTAGTATATTATTAGCTTAGCTACATGTACTATCCAATGTTGAGAAAATTGTCAAGTACACTTACGAACAGACATGCATTACTGGTACTGGTATTGATTCTTAAAGGGTCTCCACCGAGGTTTCGTGACATGACAGTACTTAAGATAATTTTCAAGATTAATGTACCATTAGATGTAGGTCTGGTCTAGACAATTATGTGCATGCAAAATTTCAGGTCATTCACCCAGACACAAATTGAAAAGCACAAATCAGACAAAGAGTAGCGAAAAAAAATAAAATTTTAAATTTATTTCCAAGTATATTTCTTAATTATTATTGGCACATATATCTGTTTAAAATGCCACAGCTGGTCTATATAAAAAATTGAAATTTTATGTTTTTATTGCCTTTGGACCTCAGTAGAGTTCCTTTAAGAACAATGTTCATAGTAATGATGCATGTCTGCTTATGTATAAATATTTTTCAAAATTTCTCATGAGTAAGTCTAATGCTGCAACACTATTTTATACAGGAGTTCACTCTATAAGGACCAGTGTGCACAGACTTGAAAATCTTGACCCAGAAATAATATCGTCTGTAATATCGATCTCGAGGTCCCGACATGAGAAAAATGTGATGAGGCATCTGAAATTATTGATGAAAGAGTGGACGTTTGAGTTGACCAATCTCATTAAAGTCATGGACGAAATGACGGACCCTAAAATGTTTATGTTAGTGTCAGGTAAGAATGTTTGTTTAATTTTTTTGTGATATTTATATTGTTCTGTATAGATTTATAGAGGCGTCATTGGCTGAGTGGTTAACATTGTAAACTTCGAACCACTTACTGCTGTCACTTCTAATTGCACCAGGGACATTGGATTATTTCATGTGAGGGAACTACATGTATCTAGCTAGATTATGGAACATCAGTGGTCCTACTCTGGTGCCTGCTTGTGGCTGTGAAAGAGTGGCACCTGAGGTTTTCCTTCTCCAATAATGTCAGAAAATCATCAAACAATTCTTTGTAGTGTTGTGGTGACTGAAAGCTTCTTCCCCCCCCCCCATGACAGATTAAAATATAATTTTAGCAAGAGTTCTAGGAATTATTGTTACAAAGTTGTGAACTACAATGGAAAGCCAGTCATTATTGCAGCCAGCATTTTAACAAAATGTAATCTCGACAAATGTGGGTTTTTCCCATCTAATTTCCAGATAACAAACAAACATTTACAATAACAATTTGGTTTATATTGTGAAAATAAATGCAATGCATTGATAATTCATTTGTGAATATTAGTGCACGGTAGAGCTGGAAAGCAGTAAAAGTTTTTTGTACAAAGGGATTAGATTAGATAAAAAAAAACATTTACCTGGATTCTGGATAACATTTATTACTATTTGTTTATAGAACGTAAGGTAGAAGATGATATCAACACATGTAATGGGTGTCTACTGATCTCAGATGAGGCGGGATTTTCTGTGATGTTACAAGCTGTGATTGGTCGAAGCAGACGGGTCGTGCAGGTTGCTGAAAGAATCGTTGATTCTCATTTAGATCCCATGTTCCGCAATGGCTTGATGGTATTTATTCTAGAACTGAAAAAGGGTAGGTACAGCAGAAATAATTCTTACTTTTTACTAAGTTTTTCAACTTTTGTCCCCACTGTTGATATTTATAGTTTGCAGAGATTGGTGGTCATTGTTGTAAATTGTCTATTCTTTATATATATTAGATTCATTAAATAATTATGTTTTTACATGAATTAGATCTAAGTATATTAGTACATTAATAAATTAGTACATTTATAATAGTAAACAGTTTCTATCTACAATTTAAGATTAAACAAATATTCTTACAATGCTACTATTTTCAAAACAGATTTTTCTTATTTCTTCTTCAGTTATAAAAATTGTAAATAAATTAATGTTCCAAGTAACTAAGTAAATATCTCAAAGGAATTTCACTGAGAACAAGAGAGCCTTAAAACATAAACCTTGAAATTAAAATAAAAGAGCCATAAATTTGTTTATTATTTGTTCAAATGTAATAGGAATATCAAATGCATGTACTAGGAGATCAAAAGATTTGTTTATTCTGATCTAGTAATAACTGGAGTACGAACTGCCGGAGGTCATATATCCGCAGAGTTTACAAACAAATTACACCAAGACACATTAAGAAGAAGGTTTGATCACCTACAAGACTCTCTAGCGAAGGTAAAGGCTGGCCTTAGTGAGTCAAATCATCCACATGTACTAAGTCACCTCAGACGAAATGTCAGGGGGTCTGAAAGTAAGTACTTTTTAGCCTACTTGTGTCTGAAATTATGCATGGAGGGGCACCTGAGGTTTTCTTCTACCAGTGATTCCTCTTAAAAGGTTTTTATATGACTATTGTTGTGTTGGTATGTAATTTTACTTATTGATAAACTTATAAAATTATTTACATTGTCTTAGAAATTGTGTTTTTTTTTTTCATTGTAATACACATGTCAATTGATAAAGTATTTTTCTTCTTAAAAAAAGAAACAATCACAATTTTTATTTCATTTACAGAAGTCAGTGTAAAAACAAATCCTGACCAGTTTCACACACATTTATCAAAGTTGAAACATTCGTCAACAGACCGTATCATAGCAACATCGGTACCAAAGTTAAATCTTGCCTCAGTTACCCGCGAGGACAAAATATCGCCTACTTCAGCAGCCACTCAGAGGTCCGACACTGAACGAATTACACCGCACTTGGCTTCACTGCAGAAAACAGAGATTGGCAAAAGTATGAGTGTTTCGCAGATAAGTAAAGGTAATTATATGTATATGGAATTTTTTACCTTGTACGAACACAATGTCCATTGTCATGAACAGACTCGGTAAAAACTGCTGTGTGGCAGATTTAAAATTTGGACCATGCTTCATCTTAATGTTGTTGAATATTTTTTGTCCTTCTGAATCATTGAATCCAATGCTGTTAAGGTTTCAATACTACTTAAGCCTGTGCTATGTAATTCATCTATCCAGAGAGCTTACGGAACGTCGGTGGTTCTACTCAGGTGCCCATTTGTGCCTAAAATATGCACGGAAGGGCACCTGAGGTCTTCCTCCACCAGTTAAGCTGGAACATCGCGATATGACCTATACTGTGTCGATGTGACGTTAAACCCATAACAAAAGCTATGTAATTCAAAAAATATTGCAATTTACATTTTCTCTTATGAGTAGACTTGCTAAAACAGAGCCGAGGAATTTCAGCTACAGTATTTGTTTTCATTGCCTTCAAGTGATATGGAGATAAAATCTTTATGTGTAGTTACTTTGCAGCTCTCAGCCAACTTGAAAGCATAAAAATATTGATTTGACATATTTCCTTAATACAGAAAATATACAGTCAAACTTGTGTTACAGATCACCTTAGAATAAAGATCACCCTGTAAATAAAAGGCTACCCTTAGACAACTTTTTATCGAATGAAAAAATTGAAAAGAACAAATTAACCTCCAAATGAAGACCACTTGTATATAAAGCCTGTGTTTAGTCTTTCTCTCTGGAATGACTTTCATTTACAGGTTTTACTATATGCCTATATATTTTGCTAAACCTCAAGGCCAAGTTTGTACGCTTTATGGTGTATTCTTATTTTCAGTTTTCCCTCAGACATATGCCAGGAAACTTGCCACTGAACTTGTATCGTGGTCAACAAAAGGTGACAGGGACAAAGTGAACCTTCTTTCTGGAGATCTGTTGGGCTGGACCAATCATATTATAGATGTTTCACACATTGTTGTAGTGCATTGCACAGATCTAAAAAAGAAAAAGTTAGTTTCATTGACTTCCTGTTTTGCATAAAAATGTGGGTTTTTTTTTGCTAGCTAAGATTTAGATCTTTATTTACAAATATGAAATATGGAAAAACGTTACTTCTATTGACTTCCTGTTTTACTTAAAAATGTTGTTGCTTTTTTACAACTTAGCTAAGATTTTAGATCTTTGTTTACAAATATGAAACAGGAAAATCAGGAAAATTAATTATAGGGCCCAATGCTCCAGATAGTTTAAGTTATTTACCTAAATAATCACTATAGTGAACAGTTTATAATACAGAAATTTATGAAATTTTACGCCTTCATCTTATGTAAAGACTGAAATAGAGTATCATGTTGGGGTGTCTGTGGCTAAGTGGTAAAGTACATTGACTTCAAACCTCTTGCCACTCGCTACTGTAGGTTTGAATCCTGCCAGGAGTCTTTCCTGTGATGAAGCTGTCCAGCCAGCTTGCTGAACTTCAGTGGTTCTATTCAGATGCCTGTTTGTGGCTTAAATTATTCACAGAGGGGCACCTTACGTCTGCCTCCACCAGTAAAGCTGGAAAGCCACAATATGAACTTTACAGTATGTGACATAAAACCCAACAAAAAATAGAATTAAAAATGAAGTAGCATATACTGTAAAGTTAGGTATAAAGGTTTATACTTGGTCAAATTTTGAGTCAAGTTCTTAATTTGATTGAAATTTTAAAATAAATTGTCCATTAAAACTGTGAAATTTAATGAGTTTTCAAAATTAATAAATTATATGGCCAGGCCACATGAGGGTTAGCAAACTTTAATTGTGATCTAAGCAAAAAATAAACTCTGCTTGTAAATATTTTCAATCAATTATTTTTGTCTTTTTTAGGGAGATGGAGAGTTTATGTTACAGTGTTGATCAGTCAGCCCCTGAGTTGTTAGAGAAAGCTAAATACGTGCTGCACGGGGATTTTAGTCAGATTACTGATATGAAGTCCCAGGCCGAAGAATGGGCAACTAACGTATGTAACTCCTTTAATACTAGACTTGCTAGAACCTAGAGTGGTCAGCCTTTGCCATTAGTAAGGAGCCAGGCCAGCTTGCATTTCCATGCAGCCTAATCAGGCTCTATACTGTTGACCGCAGTGTTTATTCTAGGATTCAAAAAACAGGTGGGATTTTTATTGAAAGTGAGAATTTATTACATTTGTTGATTTTTTTCCTTCTTTCTCTATGTAAAATTTTCCCCCTGCCTCTGAAAAAAAAGGGGGGAATTCTCAAAATATGGGTGAATCCCCCAATCGCCCCTCCTAGAATAGACACTGGACCGACCAACTTCCAAATTTTCAGCTTGATATCCCCATAATTGAAAATGTATAGTTCCAGAAATGAGAGCTGAACAAGTCCATTAAAGAAATTCAACATGTATAAGTTTAATACCTTAGTTATGTATATTATAGAGTATCTCCATAGTTTATGGGTTTTAGTTGCTGACTTTGAAACACTCGTTCCTCACTGTTGTGGGTTTGATCCTCACAAGGGTCTCCTGGATTTGTTTCATGTGAGTAAGCTATCCAGCTACCTTACAAAAGGCCGGTGTTTCTACTTCCTCACCTACACGTCCCCATGGGACACTTATAGTTTTAAACAGCCTGTAATGCCTGACTGTTGCCATAATTATTAATACAGCATCTGTGTGATTTCAAACCCAGCCTCAAACATTAAATTATACATTGCCTTCATGACTGTCGCCCTCCGTTTATGGTACAAAATACAGTTAATTAAGTAATCTGTTCATTCAAAAATCATTTCTGTGATCACACTTGATTTATAGGCACAGTACATCATTTCATGCAACTTTAGTTGTCAGTTTTGTCTCTTCAAAGTTTAAAGGATTAGACAGGTCTTTTTTTGTTTTGATTTTAGATTTAGAAAAACGATAGAAAACTTCTCACAGAATCTATGCCTTTTTTAAAGACTCATAGGCACAGATTCAGTGATGCAACATTAAACTGACTTTTAAATCACAAAAACAAATGCCATGAACTTTGATTAAAAAGAATATGTTTTTTAGCTCACCTTAGCTCATTGTGAGGTAATTGCCTGGTTTCTGGGCTTTCTTGTTTCAATGTTTAATGGTTTGGTATATATGAATTTGTTGTCATGGTTCAGAACTGTTCACTTTTTTAGGGAAGAACATGTGTAAGTGGTCGAATACGGTAGTGCCCTGGAACAGTATTTCTGAGGGTCCCAGGTTTGAGTTCTGGTCAGGCCAATTTACTATTTTTTCTCGCCCTGTGACATTATGCTAATAAAAACCATCTTTAAGTCAAAGACTTCATTCTTTTATTACTACTTCTGTGATTATGAAAAAAAAAATATTTTTTAAAATTCCAGCATTTTACGTGATTATTTGCAGATTGAAAAAGTCAGGGTGTACGTGGATATTACAGTAGAGTCGTGGAAATCCATTACAGACAAAGTGTGTGATGCTGCCAGACTTTTTAAAGCAGATCTAGTCAAACATCAGGTTACCATAGCAACCTTTTTACAAAATATCAAATTCATTTTCAGATTAACTTTTTATATTTTATGATTTTACATGAAATATGAAAACTGACTTGAAATGCTGTAGGATATTTAAAAGGATAAATTGCTCTGCAAAAAATATTGTTAGTTTTATATTAAATATAATATGATTTTTTTTGACAATTGTTGAAGGTGTTCTTTTCTGAATATATTATTTTTAAGCTTATATATATTATGTTGGTTAAATGATTTAATTTGTAGTTTTATATTATGAACCCTTCAAAAATGTGAAATTTGTTCCACTGTCTGTATTCTACTTTCAGTTAAATATAGTTCAAGGTCATATTGATGCATTAAATGACCTTGTCTCCATTGCTGGGAAACTGAGATGGGAAAACCAGGTCAAAGGTCAGGATAAAATTGATTCTTTATGTGAGGACAAAAATGAAGTTGAAAATGTAGGTGTGACCTTCAAAACTACCGCAGCTATGATTGCCGAACAAGGTAAATAAAGGTTCTGCATGTTTCGATGTTGCGTCACATGTTGTCACCTAAGTGCAGTAACAGAATAACTCCTATTAAATGATATTAGGGATTAACCCTTTACTGCACTGAGGTGAAGATGTGTCATTATTCAATATTTTATTTCTTAGAGGCTTACATATTTGGGTTATATAGGTAGAGGATATTTTTTTGGCTGAAAATGGACTTTATCCCATCAAAAGGTGTGAATATTTTATGTTTTACGGGTGCAAAGCATGAGTGAAATATACGAAAATTCTCACTTCTAAATAAGATTAAGTCTATATTCATTAAAAGAAACCATGCAGACAATAATTAAAAGATTACTGGTCTGGCGCGTTAACCACTTGGCGACGCTGCCACTCATTATGAGTTTGTCTTTGTTTTTTTCTTCTGCGAACATATAGAACAGGAACCAAAGTCTGTTAGTTTGTTTTGTTGGGTTTTAATTCACACCAACATTTAAAGAATCAAATGGCAACTTTCCAGCTATACTGATGGAGGAATGCCTCATGTGCCCCTCTGTGCCTTATTTTAGACATCAGCGGACAATTATGTAGAACCATGGACATTCCATAAGCTAGCTAGATAGCTCCCTCATATGAATGAATCCAAAGTTCCAAGAGGGTTTTGAACCAACAGTGGTGAGGGAAATTGGTTCAAAGTCACTGGTCTAAACCTCTTAGCCAAAGACGTCCCTTTGTGAATTTTATTAGTGTGATGTTATATTTTAACATCATTTCTCTGCTCCTTCAGGTTTAAAGGACCAAAATATTGAACTGGAACAGTTAGGTAGGGAGTGGTGTGTTAAAGTCTACAGTATGACGTCAGATATAGAATCTCTCTGTAGTGAACTCCTTGACCTTGGGATGTCAAAAAAGATATGGCCGACTATACATGTGCAAGAAAATCTTCCAGATACTCTTCAAAAGGAAAACAAAAAGCTCAAGGATCTTTTGAAGAGTGCTTGTTATGGGTATGTTAATTTTGTTTAACTATTTTAACTATGTAAAATATCTGAATGTATTTTAATTTTGCATTATTCATGTATTAAATTTTGGTTACTGAATTGGTGGTTACTGAATGAGTACCATTTACTAAAACAATGATTTCCATCTAAAAGAGAATAGAATCATTAATTATTAAAATTTTGTAGTATATTTTCCATGTGAGGTTGCTCTCCATATATTGTGACATACTCTTGTTATGCTCCCTGAAAAATTTCGGGGGAGCATATAGTTGCCGGGTTGTCGGTCCGACCATCCGTCAGTCCTTCTGTACGTATGTACGTCTGGAATTCGTGGGTTGTTTTTACACATTGAACTTTATCTGTGACATATTTCTGACACTACAAGAGGTATACCTTACTGTGTCCAAAACCTATTTGGGGAGCATCACCAGGTTCAACCAGCTCTTGTTATTTTGAAGTTTGCCGTTCAATTTCTTTTGAGTATAAAAGTTGTTTCTCTGCAAAGGTTGTACTATGATGGTTGTACTGTCATATATAAAGCATTTTGTCCTAAAGGGTGTTGCATTGCAGGGATTGTACTTTAATATATAAAGCTTTGTGTCCTAAAGGGTGTTTCTCTGCAAAGATTTTACTTTAATATATAAAGCTTTGTGTCCTAAAGGGTGTATTTCTGTAAGGGTTGTACTGTAATGGTTTGTACTGTAATATATAAAGCTTTGTGTCCTAAAGGGTGTTTGTCTGCAGGGATTGTACTTTAATATATAAAGCTTTGTGTCCTAAAGGGTGTATTTCTGTAAGGGTTGTACTGTAATGGTTTGTACTGTAATATATAAAGCTTTGTGTCCTAAAGGGTGTTTGTCTGCAGGGGTTGTACTGTAATAAATAAAGCTTTGTGTCTAAAGGGTGTTTATTTGCAGGGGTTGTACTGTTATATATAAAGCTTTGTGTCGTGAAGGGATGTTTCTCTGCAAGGGTTGAACTGTAATGGGTTGTACTGTAATATATAAAACTTTGTGTCCTAAAGGGTGTTTCTCTGCAGGGGTTGTACTGTAATATATAAAGCTTTGTGTCCTAAAGGGTGTTGCTCTGCAGGGGTTGTACTGTAATATATAAAGCTTTGTGTCCTAAAGGGTGTTGCTCTGCATGGGTTGTACTGTAATATATAAAATCTTTGTGTCCTAAAGGGTGATGCTCTGCAGGGGTTGTACTGTAATATATAAAGCTACTGTTATGATTGCAGTGATGAGAGTAAAAAGGAGTTATACAAGGAGTTTTTAGCAGATATGTCGGACTGCGTGGAGGACCTGAAGTCAGCCTCATTACAGAGAAGATCTGGCCCTGGTTCTACTCTAGCTGCTCCAAGATATTCTAGCCTCAACATCGGACTACATAGAGCTTTCTGGATATTAAAGGTAGTGACAAAAACAAGCACTTGCATGCCACTTGACGATAATTTCTTTTGTGATTTTTAGCTCGACTATTCGATAAGAATAAGTAGAGCTATTGTAGTCACCCGAGCGTCGGCGTCAGCGTCGGCGTCGGCGTAACCACTTATGTTAAAGTTTTTGTAATAGTTTAAATATTTTCAAAGTCCATTGACATATGGCTTTGAAACTTTGCACACTTGTTCACCATCATGACCCCAACCTGTAGACAGGAGGAGGTAACTGTATCAAGCATTTTGACAGAATTATGCCCCTTTTTCGACTTAGAATTTACGTTAAAGTTTTTGTAATAGTTCAAATATTTTCAAAGTCCATTGACATATGGCTTTGAAACTTTGCACACTTCTTCACCATCATGACCCTGACCTGTAGACAGGAGGAGGTAACTGTATCAAGCATTTTGACAGAATTATGCCCCTTTTTCGACTTAGAATTTGGGTTAAAGTTTTTGTAATAGTTCAAATATTTTCAAAGTCCATTGACATATGGCTTTGAAACTTTGCACACTTGTTCACCATCATGACCCCAACCTGTAGACAGGAGGAGGTAACTGTATCAAGCATTTTGACAGAATTATGCCCCTTTTTCGACTTAGAATTTACGTTAAAGTTTTTGTAATAGTTCAAATATTTTCAAAGTCCATTGACATATGGCTTTGAAACTTTGCACACTTGTTCACCATCATGACCCCAACCTGTAAACAGGAGGAGGTAACTGTATCAAGCATTTTTTTATTATCAAGCACTAAGAATAGTCGAGCGTTGCTGTCCTACCGACAGCTCTTGTTGTTTGTTAAATAGAGGACCAAAGTTCCTTATTCAGTTGAAACAGGATGAAGACTTTTTTTGTTTGTTTCATATTGTTTTGCATTATATGGCCCAAAATGATAATTCCATTGTGCTGACTACTTGACCACAATGTATTATTCGTGACTCAAACTTTCCCAGCTTTGACTTTGAAAGTTCCAATATCTGTATAGTAAAAAATTGATTCCACATCTTGAGTTGCTAAGACTTTCTCCTCAGTTCTGTCTCAAAACTCAGAATTTTCATCGGTCAGTGATCATTCTTTGGCAATTTCTGACCAATCAAATTACTGGGATGTAGGTTTGAGCTTAGAGAAATTCTTTAGAACCTCAGAACCTGATGGTTAGAATATTTTTTGTATACACACATATCACCATTTCAATTTATACATGTCTATGGTATATAGTTACTTGCAAGTATTTCTCTGTGATAATTGACCTCAATCATTGAGTCTAATGGTCATTTGTCTCTCACTGCCAATAAAATAATTATATGGGATTGATAAACGGTCACTTGCAGAGATATTGGTATTTTACTGGTTAGTTATCCAGCAAAGCTGGTTAGTTGGATTGACTACTGAGATATGACAAAAATATGATAAAATTGGTATAAAAACCAGGAAAACATACAAGTTCTTAAAGAATAACTGATATGATTTCAGGCTGTACAATGTGTGGACTTGGCTAGACAGCAGACTTGTATGTATAGTGGAGGTGTAGATATAATCATAGAGAAAGCTTTTATACTCAAAGCTGCAACTGGTAAGTTTATTAGCTCACCTTGCACAAAGTGCAGGTGAGCTTTTAGGATGGCCAACCAAATGGCGTCCGTCGTCCGTCCACATTTTAAATATTCTAAGGACATCTTCTATGATACCGCAAGGCCAATGTTAATGAAACTTGGCAGGAATACTCTTTGTATGAAGCTCTATCAAGATTGTTCAAAGAATTCCATTTCATGCAGAACTCTGGTTGCCATGGCAACCGAAAGAAAAATCTTTAAATATCTTCTTTTAAACAACCCTAAGAGCTAGAGCTTAGATATTTGGCATGAAACATCTTCTAATGAGTGTCTACCAAGTTTGTTCAAATAAAAGCCCTAGGGTCAAAATTGGCCCCGCCCCAGGGGGTCATTGATTTTCCCTATATGCATGTAGTAAAAACTTAAAAAATCTTCTTTTAAAGAACCCAAAGAGCTAGAGCTAAGATATTTGGCATGAAACATCCTCTAGTGAGTGTCTACCAAGTTTGTTCAAATAAAAGCCCTAGGGTCAAAATTGGCCCCGCCCCAGGGGGTCATTGATTTTCCCTATATGCATATAGTAAAAACTTTAAAAAATCTTCTTTTAAAGAACTGTAAAAGCTAGAGCTTAGATATTTGGCATGAAACATCTTCTAGTGAATGTCTACCAAGTTTGTTCAAATAAAAGCCCTGGGGTCAAAATTGGCCCCGCCCCAGGGGGTCATTGATTTTCCCTATATGCATATAGTAAAAACTTAAAAAATCTTCTTTTAAAGAACCATATGAGCTAGAGCTAAGATATTTAGCATGAAACATCTTCTAATGAGTGTCTACCAAGTTTGTTCAAATAAAAGCCCTGAGGTCAAAATTGGCCCTGCCCCAGGGGGTCATAGATTTTCCCTATATGCATATAGTAAAAACTTAAAAAACTTCTTTTAAAGAACCCAAAGAGCTAGAGCTAAGATATTTGACATGAAATATCTTCTAGTGAGTGTCTACCAAGTTTGTTCAAATAAAAGCCCTGGGGTCAAAATTGGCCCCGCCCGGGGGGGTCATAGATTTTCCCTATATGCATATAGTAAAAACTTAAAAAATCTTCTTTTAAAGAACCGTAAGAGCTAGAGCTTAGATATTTGGCATGAAACATCTTCTAGTGAATGTCTACCAAGTTTGTTCAAATAAAAGCCCTGGGGTCAAAATTGGCCCCGTCCCAGGGGGTCATAGATTTTCCCTATATGCATATAGTAAAAACTTAAAAAATCTTCTTTTAAAGAACCCAAAGAGCTAGAGCTAAGATATTTAGCATGAAACATCTTCTAATGAGTGTCTACCAAGTTTGTTCAAATAAAAGCCCTGGGGTCAAAATTGGCCCCGCCCCAGGGGGTCATTGATTTTCCCTATATGCATATAGTAAAAACTTAAAAAATCTTCTTTTAAAGAACTCAAAGAGCTAGAGCTAAGATATTTAGCATGAAACATGTTCTAATGGGTGTCTACCAAGTATGTTCAAATAAAAGCCCTGGGGTCAAAACTGGCCCCGCCCCGGGGTCATTGATTTTCCTTATATGTGTATAGCAAAAACTTAAAAATCTTCTTTGAAAAAAACCCAAATAGCTTGAGTTTAGATATTATACATGAAACATCTTTAAGTAAATATCTACAAAGTTTGTTCAAATAAAAGCCCTGGGGTCAAAACTGGCCCTGCCCCAGGGGTGTCATTGTTTTTAACTATATGTGTATAGTAAAAACTTAAAAAATCTTCTTTTAAAAAACCAATGAGCTAGAACTTAGATGTTTAGCATGAAACATCTTCTTATGGGTGTCTACTAAGTCTGTTCAAATAAAAGCCCTTGGGTTAAAATTGGCCCCGGGGGGGGGGGGGGGGGGCTATATACAGGTGAGCGACCTCAGGGCCATCATGGCCCTCTTGTATATATCCTTTTCCCAAAATTTTCCATTTAGAATAATTTACTACAAAACAGGTAAGAGACTTTGGATTATTTTCAAGTCAAGAAGCTATCCAGCTAGCTAACAAAATGTTGGTTGTTCTACTCGGATGCTTGCTTGTGCCTGAAAAAATGAACAGAAGGGCACCTGAGGTCTTCCTCTACCAGTAAAGCTGGTTAATCGCCATATGACCTTTTTTGCAATGTAAAACCCAACCAAAACAAAAAGAAAACACAATGTCAATACTAGTAAGCTTGTTGATCAAATTCTTTGAATAAGAGAACTCAAACTCACAATGGCCCATGGATTAGATGTCAGTGCTTGTAACTACACAATCTTAATGCCCACTTTATCACCTGTCAAATAAATTGGAAATTTTAACTTTAGACGTTTGCATCGGAAAGTGCTGATGACAATTTTGAGTTATCATGTTTTCCATACCTTATTTTTCGATAAACATTGATAAATATAGAGAACAGTGTATTGAACAATAAAGTTCATATTTAATTTACTTTAGGCAGTGACAGGGCAGAGCAAGAGACAGAGTTTAATCAGATGTTGACCCAGTTTACAGACAACATGGCGACAGTTCGTAGGCGAGCGTTACAGGGTATCCAGCTGTCAGCGGAACTTGGGAAGAGATCTGTAGTGAGGCAATGTCTAGATTCGTTGACTACATTACTACCGGATGTTGTCTCCGTGCTTAAGACATTAGCAGGTCGGTTAACTTTTAACCATGCTGATTTTCACGACCTTAGTGCAGTAATGGGTTAAGTCCTCCTAAATTTAGTAGGAGTTAACCAGTTATTGCACTAAGGTGACATTTTGCATAATGGACTTGTCTTACTTCGAATTTGGAACAGTCCATTTTTAGTTTAATGGATCTTGATATTAGAATAAAAAAAAGTACATAGTTTACTGGAGGTTGGTCTCTCTTCTCAAGTGCCTGCTTAAACCTGAAATAATACATAGACAGGATACCGTATCTGAAGTCTTTTTGTACCCAGTTTAGATAGACAGTCACCATGTAAACTGTCCAGTACCTGTGTGACTTAAAACCCATAAAAAAATTCTCATTTTAAAATATGCATAGTTTAAAATAGAGTACTCCCTATGGTTAAGCATCCTGTGTGATATTGTGGTAATCCAAACATGTGTGGACATGTATACTGAAGAGAAAAGGTACAACAGATAATACTAGTAAAGTAAGTCAGTGAAAAGTCGTTTTCAATAACAAAAATTTATGGAAATATTAAATACTCTGGTACTCAAACGGCACCACCCTACTCATGTGGTGACATGGCCAAGTGGTTAACGCGTCAGACTAGTAATCTAAGACCTGCTGGTCACATGGGTTCAAACCCAATCGGGGAAATGCCGTTTTTTTCTGTAATAAAAAAACATAACACCCTCTGCCTAGTACTGGTTTGTTCCAGGATTGTATTCGAGAGAATTTCAATAAGCTTATAGCTTCCAACGCAATCAAACTTAAATAAATTGGTATAAATAAAATGACACTGCTTTAATCATAGCTGTAAACATATGGATCAAAGAAATGCAACAAACTCACTGATAATCACTTTACTTTTCATTTACTAGATGAAAACAGTTGCAGTAACCATGGTGACGTATTATGGCACAGGTTGCTATGGTGTGCTAAAGTGTATCACTTAATCACGTGTCTACATCAGATGAGTGACGTAAGAACTACAGTAATTGATGGTAAGATACTTGCCTTTCTCTATGTAGGATAAGGTATTGTAAGGAAATATTCGTATTGCAATATTTTGTAATATTTCAGTAAAAATCGTTGTAATGTACAGTGCTCCTCACATGTAGCAAACTCTTATGTATTGCACACGTTTTTGAAGAAGAAAATAAAACATGTCTGGAAGTCTCGATTGTCCTCCTTCATTAACATATGTAAAAAAAATTCAGTTTATGTTATTGTAAATTATGTACAGTTTAAATTATGATAAATTATATTGTTATAAGACCTACTTATACTAGTTGATAATAAGCATGTACACTGTAAACAAAATGTTAATAGCAAATTGTGTGTAAATTGATTCCATTTTCAAGTTTTCTGTACAGCAGCATAAAAGTTTTAACAGAAAACTTCATTTTTTAGCTCGACTATTCGATAAGAATAAGTAGAGCTATTGTAGTCACCCGAGCGTCGGCGTAACCACTTATGTTAAAGTTTTTGTAATACCTCAAATATTTTCAAAGTCTATTGACATATGGCTTTTCTGACAAAGTTTGCATACCACCTGAGATATTTTCATATACTATTGATATCTGGCTTTGAAACAAGCTGAAATTTTATACTCTCTGAGAGCATAATACTACACTCTTCAAGGCCTATAACAGTAACATGGATTTAAATTTTGTTAACTTAGAAAATTTTACATTATCAAGGCTCTTTTAGTATCAAGCACTAAGAATAATCCTACCGACAGCTATTGTTTATGTTGTATTGTAGTTGTTTTCATAGCACTATGTAATAAAAGAATATGTTTTCAGAAATAGAGAAAGTCCTGAAACCACAAGAGATTATCACAGACTTTGATGATATTAGTGAGAAACTCATATCCCAGGATGATGCTACAACAGTTGCTAAGCAACAGCCCAATGAACCTATAAATAGATCACTATTCTCAGGAAATGCTGATTCTGTGAAGGTTTGATTTGTTTTATTTTTAGCTCACCTGTCACAAAGTGACAGGGTGAGCTTTTGTGATCGCTTTTCGTCCGGCGTCCGTCCGTCCGTCCGGCGTCCGTCGTCCGTCCGTAAACTTTTGCTTTAAATGACATCTCCTCATAAACCACTGAGCCAATTTCATCCAAACTTCACAGGAATGTTCCTTTGGTGGTCACCTTTAAAAATTGTTCAAAGAATTTAATTCCATGCAGAACTCTGGTTGCCATGGCAACCGAAAGAAAAATCTTTAAATATCTTCTTTTAAACAACCCTAAGAGCTAGAGCTTAGATATTTGGCATGAAACATCTTCTAATGAGTGTCTACCAAGTTTGTTCAAATAAAAGCCCTGGGGTCAAAATTGGCCCCGCCCCGGGGGGTCATTGATTTTCCCTATATGCATATAGTAAAAACTTAAAAAATCTTCTTTTAAAGAACCCAAAGAGCTAGAGCTTAGATATTTGGCATGAAACATCTTCTAGTGAATGTCTACCAAGTTTGTTCAAATAAAAGCCCTGGGGTCAAAATTGGCCCCGCCCTGGGGGGTAATTGATTTTCCCTATATGCATATAGTAAAAACTTAAAAAAATCTTCTTTTAAAGAACCGTAAGAGCTAGAGCTTAGATATTTGGCATAAAACATCTTCTAGTAAATGTCTACCAAGTTTGTTCAAATAAAAGCCCTGGGGTCCAAATTGGCCCCGCCCCGGGGGTCATTGATTTTCCCTATATGCATATAGTAAAAACTTATAAAATCTTCTTTTAAAGAACCCAAAGAGCTAGAGCTAAGATATTTAGCATGAGACATGTTCTAATGGGTGTCTACCAAGTATGTTCAAATAACAGCCCTGGGGTCAAAACTGGCCCCGCCCCGGGGGTCATTGATTTTCCTTATATACATAGCAAAAACTTAAAAATCTTCTTTGAAAAAACCCAAATAACTAGAGTTTAGATATTAAGCATGAAACATCTTTAAGTAAATATCTACAAAGTTTGTTCAAATAAGTTTGTCATTGTTTTTAACTATATGTGTATAGTAAAAACTTAAAAAATCTTCTTTAAAAAAACCCAATGAGCTAGAACTTAGATGTTTTGCATGAAACATCTTCTTATGGGTGTCTACCAAGTCTGTTCAAATAAACAAATAAAAGCCCTTGGGTAAAAATTGGGCCGGGGGGGGGGGATATACAGGTGAGCGACCTCAGGGCCATCATGGCCCTCTTGTTTGGTGATACTTTTTTTATCACCAGATATGATTTTTCTTGTTAAATCTCTCCAGTTTTGTAGAGTCATTGACCTTTTCCTTTGTTATTGTTTACTTCTCTTAAATATATTTGTTACAGGTTATATGACCAAGAATAAATGGTTGTAATAACCCTAACTGTTTGATGTATATTATTAGTAATAAAGACTTTTACAGCTTTTTTAAATGTAAATTTTGAGAAGATGTTACGTTCTAAACTCTACACTCTACATAGTGTCATTGAAAAATGGCTGTTTTTCTTTTTTTTTATGAAAGGACTAAATAATCATGACCAGTAAACAGGAATGCAGCTTCCCAAACATAGTTTGTGCATGAAAAAAAATTTACCTAAAGATGCATATATCTTAATGTGGATTTATGACACACTAGCATAACTTTTTCACTGTGTGTTTATTTTGTAGGGTAATGGAACAGCTGATAAGCCAATGACTGGCAATGTTCACAGGTCGCCCTTGTCGCAGAATTCAAATTTTGGCAATATTCCAAAATCCATGCAGCAGACGACAAGGAAGTCAGGGTCAAAGTTGAATGATAGCTTACATAATCAGCTGAACTTTACGAAATACATTCCAGACCAGGGACCAAATATCGAGAACTTTGATCCTGTGGTGGTAGATCTACAAGCTGTGGAAGAACAGATCATGCTTAATGCAAGGTGAGTTTACCCATAGTGCTTTAGGTTTGAAACTTCCCAGGAAATGTAAATTCTTTCCTTAAGGAAGCTATCCAGAAAATACCTATGATAGGAAAATGGTTTTGTCTTCTGAAATAAATGCATGAGTCTAAAATAATTTATAGGTTAATAAACATTAAATTCTATTTAATCATATTGATAATACCCAAAAATCATCATAATTTGTGAGAGTTTAAATTTTCATGGTTTTAGAGGACAGAGCAAACCAGCAATTTAAGTTCCAACAAATTATTATTTTGTCTACTAAACGATTATTTTTATTATTCGAATTTTACTTTTTTTGCAAAAACAGACAATTCACAATTTTAGGAACCCACGAAAATGTAATTTTTGACAAAACCATGAAATTTCATGTCCAAGAAATTAAGTGGATTTACAATAGTGAGGTAGACACCTTAACCAGTAGGCCACCTGTCCCCTTTGATTTGACCCAGTTTAATGTCATTTGATTTAATCTCAACATATATGCTGGTGTTCAAGTTTTTAAAAATCAACTTTGCAAGATGCCTTTATAACAGGCTTGATGTGGAAATATTAAGTAGTCCGGCCAGCTTTCATATTGGTGCTGCCAGATAAGACTATATACATGTACTGTCGTCTGCTGAATTGTTTAACCTTTCATAGTTCATACAACATTGTAAACATCTTGAAACCCGACTATGCTATATATCTTAAATGGACTTTTCCATCATGCAATCTAGGCAAAACCATTTCTCATTTTTTAGAGAAAATTTAAAATAAGTACTGACTGAATGTCAAACAGTCCAGACCATGATCAGATGGCTGGGCAATGCTGGCTGATCTTGGTCTGCACTGGTCACATGGGTTGAATCTGTTGGCAAAGCAGGCAAAAGGGTTAAACCATTGCTGGCCAGGGGCCATAATGACTTGTGCATATCTGTACAGCAGTTAGGCCAGATTCTAAACTTTACTGGTTTCAACATTATGATTACCAGAACCCCTTTAACATTTCAAATGGACAGTTCTCAATTCAAAGTAGGACAAGTCTATTGAACAAATTAAGCAGAATAAAGATTAAATTTGAAAAGAGGAAAATTTTAAAATAAGCAAAATATCAAAAAATTATGGGCAAAAAAATTAATATTAATTTTGTAAAGATATTGTATAATTATGGATAATGAATTTAATTTAAATCTTATTATTTGTTTGTCTGTAATTGTAAGAATAATTTTTCATCTTGATAAATATCTGACTGAAGAATCATTTTTTTAAAGAAAAAAGGTTTTGCTTAAAGATACAATGTACATTGGTTTATTTTCCCAAATTATGTTCATGTTACAGAAGAGTCTATTTCCCCGCTCCACCTCAGGACACACAATTTAAAAAAAACATGTATTTTTAATACTTTTAACCATTCAAAATTAATTTTCATATCAAAATATTACTTTCCTGGTATTTTATAAGATATTTTTGTTTGATTTTTTTTGAGATATTGTAATTCAAAACATTGTATTTTCTTTTTAATATTTCCAATTGAAATGAAATTATGTATGTATTGGTATAATAAATATATAGACAAAATTATGCAATAATAATACATTTTAGAGTACAGAAATACAAAAATGATGGAAATTGTTATTTGTGATAAGAAATGTATTAGTTATAGAAAAATGATGTATGCACACAGGTAATTACTATAAGACTTACTTTAAAAGTACTTCTGCATGTAATTCAGTCAAATAAAATGCAGTTCAATATAGTATAATATTTGTAAGGAGCATTTATAATTTATTTTTTGTTTAAAAATATAAGAATATTTTATATCAGTATTAAAGATAAAAATACAATAGAATGTTCAAGGAATTTTTATTCAATTTTTGCTGAAAATATTTATAATTTAATATCATTTTAAAAGATTTTAAAAGGAAATATTATACAAAAATAATATCTTGTTTTTGTATTTTGTTTTAGGAATCTTAAATGTTTGATGATAATAATAATAATGATGATAATAAAAAAATAGAATTATATTTAAGAATATGAATAAAATTCATTTATAATAATTTTAATTTATGGTAAGATTCCTTAAACAAAATACAAAAACAACAAGATATTATTTTGTATGATATTTTCTTATAGATTTTTTTGAAATGATATTAAATTATAAATATGTTCAGCAAAAATTTAAATAAAAATCTTAACCTATTCTCTTTTTATTGAAAAACTGCTTTTAAAAATATCAGTTATATTATATTTAATGCAGAGTTACAAATGTGATATATAAGTCACCTAAAAATAATAAAACTCTGTCATATACTTTCAAGTTAACAAGATTTAAATGTATAAGGAAATGGTTTGAAATATTAATGAATTTTGTCACCTGTATTTCCTGGTTTCTTTCACATTAATAATATTACTTTATCACCCTCTATTGAAACCTGTCTACCACTTACCTGTATAATTAAGATTGAATTAGGCCCATCAATTTTCACAAGTGATGTAAAGAAATTAAAAAGTAGACCTTTTTTGCTGGACAATTAAAGTGGTCAATTATCACAATGCAGTGACATACCACAAAAGATAATTGCTTTATGGTCAGAATTATCAATTAGATCTTTAATGATGAGAAAAATTGATAAAATGAGAGTATAATTGAGAATAAAATAGATAATTATTTGAAAATTTGATTGTAGTTCTTTCAGAACTGTCCATTGTTTTCTTTAATTTTCTAGAGGATGTGCTTGATTAATAAACAGGAGTAAAAGTTTTAAGTTCATTAAGTTAACCAACTCAGTGTCAGATCTGCTTGATTAGTTATGACCAATGAAGTGAAACAATTAGGATATTTCTAGTATAAAATCAAATTGGCCACTGGCAATTTCAAACAGTTGTGTTTATGAAGTTTTACTAGATACATTGCAGTGAAATAGCCTTAAGTATTTGCAAGTGTTTTGGAATAGCCTTAAGTCTTGGAGGTTTTGTGATTAAGTTGTGACTTAGTGTATTTGAAAGTGACTTAATTTGTTAATGAACTTAGAAAAGTATTCCTGCAAGCCATTTTGCTTGAGGTACTTATTTTGAACATTGTGATTTGATAAAAATAAAAGTGAGGAAAATGGCAACAGAGATGACATCACTGGCAAATAATAATAATAACATAGGAATGCCTGGAGAATTAAAATCAAATTTACAGTTTACTGATCTTGGAAGAGCTTCCCCTACATACTACAAACAGGAAAATGTTCCGTCTGCTTTTGAACGTGTAGAGAATGGTCATCTTGGACATGGACATGAGGAGAGACGGGATATATTCAGCAACCAGTCAGGATTTCTCCCTGCACCGGTCACATCAGTCGGGTCGTCACACTTTACATCGTTTCCACCACAGATTTCCGACTACCAGACCCCTTACTTTCCGCCACCTTTTAACCCAATTCCACACCAGCCTCCACAGTTTCAGACGCATTTCAACCCAGATCCTTACTCGCATTTCCAAACAGCGCAGCATGCTTACCAACCTATAACATCAGTGGCGGATAGAAGTTTGCAGCAGCACAGAGATGACTTGCAGAATTTACCGGCTGCCCAGATTCATAATGATTATACATCTATGCCAAAAGTAGAATATCAGATGCATCCAGGGATGCAGCCTATGGTTTATAATGACCATGATCAAGACATTATGCACATGAATGGTGGCGATTTTATGAATGGAGAAAGTGACGAGGAAGATAGTGGACATGGCGGGAATAAAACATCGGTTATCAAACGAGTTGTTCACCCAAAATCAGACTTTGCGAAGCCAATCATGGTTAATGGTATGACACAGGGAGCTCAAATGGATGTATTCTGTGCTGTCCCAGGACGTCTTGCCTTGCTCAGTTCTACATCAAAGTATAAGGTGACATTAGCCGAAGTTCAGCGAAGATTAAATCCACCAGAGTGCATTAATGCTTCGTTGTTGGGAGGAATCTTGAGAAGAGCAAAAGCTAAAAATGGCGGACGATGCTTACGTGAGAAATTGGACAAGCTTGGTATGACTCTACCATCAGGCAGGAGGAAGGCGGCAAATGTTACGTTGTTTACGTCCCTAGTAGAAGGTGAATCTATAAGACTAGCTCGGGATTATGGGTATCTTTGTGAGACAGAGTTTCCATCAAAGGCTTGTGCGGAATACAATTCAAGGCAGTACACTGACCCTAATGATCAACACACCAGGAAAAACATGGTTCTTGCTACAAAGTAAGTCATCTTCACTAAATTTTCTCTCTTTCTTTTATTCTATATTGCTATACTTAATCATGAGAAATACTGTATATATTTTTCTTGTCAATGTCAATGTTTGGTACTTTTAAAACACAAGGTTTTTTTTATCAGATTATAGAATGTTCTTTTGTTTCTTTAAGATCATTCGACAATATGCATTAAATGTGCATCAATAGTTTCTTTTTCATTTATTTATAATGCACTGTGAATTATTTTTCTAATTATTTGCGTAAGCAAGTTTTTAATGAGAAATCACAATTTTTTAAATGAAAAAATTTTGTGCATTGTCAAATATTCTTGTGACTATCTAACAAATCTTATTTTTTTTTTTGAAAGGTCATTAATAAGTGTGTCTTTCTATATATATTTTATATGTTTTTTTTTGTTATTTTACAGACAAATTTTGAAGGAACTGATGGACCTTCTCAACCAGGATAGATCTCCGTTAGGCAACACAAGGCCTCAAGTTATACTGGAGCCGAACATGCAGCACCACCTGTCACATTTCAGCCTCATCACCCACGGGTTCGGTTCCCCGGCTGTTGTTGCATCCCTCACCGCTGTACAGTCTTACCTCAATGAAATGTTGAAAATAATGGACCCAAGTATGAAAAATACAGACAAGAAAGGAAAGTAGAGGAAAGACATTACTGTGTGTGTAAAAGCATTCCAATAAAGTCTAAACTTGTTCAGGCTTCACTGAACTAAGGGTAAAAATCACAAATAACAGGTGAAAGCAAGTAGCCTTGAATGGTAAGCTTGCAGGAATAAAGCAACTAATTAAGTTGAAAATGTAGAAGTACTCTTGTATTTACAAATAAGGAGTGCTATATGCTTAAACAATGTCTTGCCCTGTTTGTTTTTATTATTTTGCATTCAACTTGCTTTTCAAGGCACATATGCCAGAATTTCTCTATTGGGGGAAAAGTTTTTGTTCACATTTCAATATATTTGACTTTCTTTTCAAACTTTGAATTCGAAAAAATTAAAAGATATACATTTATACATGTATGTTATTTAAAATGGTTATATGCAAACAATTTCTACATCTTAATATATTGTTTGATAACAAATCATTTGCATTCTTTATTTGTTAATTTTTGTTTTTAAAAATGTTCTTTTTAAACATAATGAGTAATAAAAGTGACTTAAGATACAAACCTAAAGATAACCTTTTATGGGAAAGGCATTGAACGGCCCGGAGCAATATTTTTAATTTTATGTAAACATGTGGATATTACAAATATTGACATTTTCCCAATAATGTTGAGTGTAAAATCGACCATATCTCAAAGATCTGTTTTATTTTAAAACTGGACATTTTGATCAAGAAGATAGTTCAATAGTATATTTATGTCCGAATCATTGCATAATATCAAAGTAACTGATGTTTGACTATCTTAGATTTCAACGATGATAATTTGCACATGGTATTTTGTTTTTCCGCGACGGAAAATGTTATCAGCTGTCCAGGCATGTGTTTGTTTGGACGTCAGTGACTGTTTAAATCTTCCGTTGCTTTTTGAAATCCAAATTTGACATTTTTTGATGGATCAGATTTTTGATATTTGTGCATCTGAAATTTAATCATGAAAAAAAATCAGCGAAATTAGTTTAACTGTACAGTGTTATTATGTACATCACTTTGAAAACATTCCACACACATTTGTTTTGTCCAGTTTATAGTTTTGTAGATGAAATCCAGATGTATAAAAAAACATTTATTTAACATTTAATATTTTTTTCATTTATTACATGATATTGATGTTTAAAAATACATATATGTATGTGTATATATATGTCAACTTGAAAATAGTATTAATTTATTGTGTACATGAAATAGTAAAGATAATACATGCTGAGGTATCATTTGATATAGGTATTATGTACATGTATGATATTGTGAAAGAAATTGTGTAAAGAAATCCTTGAGAAATCCAATATGAAAATATTGATTTGGAATATCTCTCATATTATCCATTTCTGTGACATATGTGTAAAAAAAACTTGTCTGTGTAATGAATTGTTAATGTGTACTATGAAATTGTATATTCAAGTCCCTTCAAAAGGCTGCCTTTGCCACAAAGGCACATATTATGTATTTTGTAAAATACTAATTCCATGTGGAATATAAATCAGTGCTTTTAATTGATATGATTATGTTTTTAACAATGTTATAATTGTAAAATAAATATCTTTTGTTAATATTGCTTTGTGTGTTTTTTTTGTGCTTAATCCATGAATTAATTTTCAAATTTTAAATCTTTTATGAATACCCACAACCCATGCCACATCTCTCATAGCTTGTCCTTGCTGCCACAGATGCTTTGAGTGTAAATGAAACTTAAGACCTAATCTGGAACAAGTACAAACCACGTCCCTCCCCCCTGGAGTTGGTTTAAAAAAATCATAATTCAACATTACTATAGTGAAATGGAATTTATTTTGTGTAAAAGGTATGGAAATGGGAATCACAAGTGTCATCCACATCCCCAAAGCTTCCATTGCTTATAGCTTCCAAAGCTTATAGCTTCTAATGCTTATAGCTTCCATTGCTTATAGGTTGCATAGCTTATAGCTTCCAAAGCTCATAGCTTCCATTGCTTATAGTTTCCAATGCTTATAGCTTCCATTGCTTATAGCTTCCATAATTTATAGCTTATAGCTGCCATAACTAAAAGTTCCAGAGCTTATAGCTTGCATAGCTTATAGCTTACATTGCCTATAGCTTCCAATGTTTATAGCTTCCATTGCTTATAGCTTTCATAATTTATAGCTTCCATAGCTTATAGCTCCATTGCTTATAACTTCCATAGCCCATTTTTTATATGCCTGGTCTTAGTACTAGATATGTCACATCCCAAGTTTTTGCTACACTTTTAAACAAAATAAATGTAAATTATAAAATTGCCAAGGTATAACCATCTGTCCCTTAATGCTTTGAGTATTATGTTTGGAAAAGGACAAATTCTGTTATAAAGCAGCCAGGTAGCAACAATTTTGTTTTTAATGTAGCATAATTGGGGACCAATAAGGCTCACTTCCACCTGTAATGTTGGAAAGGTGCTAAGCTTATTTCAATATTTATTTAAGTTCTTTAAACTTGAAGAATAAATTAGGTCAACATAAGAAGCAAAGGGACATTGTGAATATTTTAATTCCACCCTTTATGTCATTAGATTGACTTGCCTATCTTTCAATTGTTCATAGTTGTCTGTCCTTCAATTTGCACAAAACCGTTCATCGTTGTTTTAAGGAACATATAAAAATAAGTAATAAGTGCAGATCATGATATATCTGTGCCCTCTGATCTTGGTCTGCACTGGTCACTTGGATATATTCAGCTGCCACAATAGTTAATTATCTGGACTGCCTGCAGCAAAGATGTGTTATCATTTAACCCAGACTGTCCTGCTGAGTCTTTTTCTGCCTCCTCTGAAAGAAGCAGAATTTTAGTTGGAGTAGGGTGGCATTGAACTTGTTTCTCCTGAATTTGTTGTTACGGTTACTTTTGAACCAATGTACAATGCAACTTCTTACATTTTGATATTGTCATCCATTATATAAATAGTTAATAAAAAATAAACAGTTCCTATTTCAAGGTAGGGAAAAGTCATTATACAAATTCTGCATTTTTGATATTGATATCCCTGATGTTAACGATGGGCAGTTCCGAATTAAAAAATAGGATGAGTCCATTATACAAATGCAGGAGGGTTGAGTTGCATTAAGTTTAAACTTCAACAGTTAAACTTCTGAATTTATGTAATGGTTTACTCAGCTTTATATTTTGAACAGTTTTTTTTTAAGTTTAAGGGATTTAAATAGTGCTGTAGGTTCAAGCCACGCTTTAAACATCTGTTGATTCTTCATGTGAGAAAGCTATCAGGTTAGCTTACAGAATGGTAGTGATTCTACTCAGGGGCCTGTTTGTGCCTGAAATAATGTAAAAAAGGACACCAGAGGCACAGGCCACCATAAAGCTTAAAAAATCACCATATATCACCTATACCATGATGATGCTACAGTAAAAGGCATTAGAAAAAAAAAATCTATACTGTGTCGATGTGAAGTAAAACCCAAAACAAACAAACAAACAAACAATAGAAAAATTAAAAATACATTAGAAAAAAAAAATCTATACTGTGTTGATGTGACGTAAAACCCAAAACAAACAAACAATAGAAAAAAGAAAAATACAAAAAAGTACAGATATTTAGCAGCCAACAATGGAGAGCCTGGTTTATAAACTGTACAGATGTGTAGGCTGGCCTGGCTCTTTACTGGTGACAAAGGCTGAATACTTTCAGTTCTACCAGGTTAAAGGAGCACCACAGAGGTCAAAGAGTCTAAAAATTTAAAATTTGAAATTCTTACATGGATCATGACTGTGAAGCATGTTAATGAAAAAAATTTGAAAATGAAAATAAAAGAATTTTTATTCAGAATTAAATCGAATAACGATTTTTTGTGCAATTCTTAGCCTATTTGAGTGAAAAGCAATGCAATGTTTTTCATTTTTGAAGCATTTTGCACACAAATGATTATTCTGGAAAAAACAGGGTGAGAGTTAATGCACACAAGTTATTGGTCCAGATTTACATCAAATGCTACACAAATCTTTGAAAAATATTTCCAGTCCCGTCATGTCAAACAACCTCAGTGAAGTTCCTTTAATGGTTAAGATAGAAATTGTATTAATATTTGTGGGATGGTGATCAATTTTGAGTTGTCAGTTACAGTTAAAGTGTCAGTTTATATCAAGCCTAACTAACTATATTCAGTGACAGTTACTGCACTTTTCCTCATAACTGATCAACTAATTGATGTATTATAGATTTTTGTACATTCATTAGACCTATGTAAAGATTTTAACCATTACCATACTATGTTTGAATAATGGACTTTCATTTGCTCATTCTTGAGTGAGTTTATTACACATTTTGAGCACCAGCTTAATGGAAGACCACATACATGACATAGACATTTTATTACTTTATTTAAATTCGGAACCACTTGGCTTATAAAAGCCCATGCTGCAAAGTTAACATATACAAAAGTTTATGACAAACAATCTATAAAGGACTGAAACAATAATTTTATTATAGAAATATTTTTATCTTACAAACGCAATTTGTTACTTTGGAGAAGGTGTTTTTAACCTTATTCACCCTTAGCAATTGTGACATATTTCGAACTTATGATATTTCATGTTACGTCATTCCAGTTACATCATTCTCACATAAAGAAAATCTCATGGTTATCTAGTTTCCATTTTAGACAAGTTGTATATTTTAGATATATTACAACAGTTTTATGTTGCATCATTTCAGCCAAGCTCTAGAACAATCAAGCAATCAAGGCCCTTCTACAGTAAAGAAAGCAGACGGACAGATGGGAACCAGACATCACAGTGAGAACCATAGCACAGCATCTACGTCAAGACCAGTTATAGATCTCCTGGTATAATTATCTCTTTTTATGTTAACAATATGGAATAATTCTGACGCCCAATGTTCCTGTTTTTTATTTATTAAACCCTCGGCCTTGCAGCCCAGACTTGATCTACCCTTGCGTCCAGTGCAGACCATGAACAGTCATCTGTATATATAGCCGTCAAATCATGGTCTGCACTGTTGGCTATTCAGTAAATACTTATCTTGAAATATTCCCTAAAATTCATGAATGGTTTTGTCCAGATTGAAAGATGAACAAGTCCATTTAAGATATTTAGGGTGGTAAGGGTTAAAGAAAGCAGCATGCCTCCAAATTCAAGATACATTTCATGAAAATTAAGAAAGTTTTAAAATGACTACATCTATTTTCAAGAGAATGAATTAAAGTGACTTATGATAGGCTAATGCACTTACATGTATCTCTGATATAGATAATATAGTTATGATATGTCAAAAGATGCAAAAATAGCTGGATCTGTGTTAATGAATAGAAGTAAATGTAAAATTCAGTGAAATTTTACATGAAACCTCACATTTATAAAAAGAAACTTCTACATTTCTTAGACCATTCATTTATTTTATTAAATGATTATTTTGGATATAATGTTATCACATATAGAGTTTGTAGTTTTAAAATAGGTTAAAATAAAGGGAATGAATCTTCTTTATATCTTAAAGGGACTCCACTGAGGTTTTTGTGCCCCCACGTTAGTGGCGGGCATTTAGATTTACCCTTGTCCGTCCGTCTGTCCTTCCGTCCGTCCTTCCGTCCGTTCACTTTTGTGTCGCACGTAACTCAAAAAGTATTTGACTTAGAGTCATGAAACTTTACAGGAATGTTGATCAGCATGTGTAGTTGTGCACCTGGGTATTTTCGTCTGGATATTTTTAGTATTTTCAGAGTTATTGCCCTTGACTTAGTAAAATTTTGCAATTTTCAACTTGTGTCGCACGTAACTCAAAAAGTATTTGACCTAGAGTCATGAAACTTTACAGGAATGTTGATCAGCATGTGTAGTTGTGCACCTGGGTATTTTCGTCTGGATATTTTTAGTATTTTCAAAGTTATTGCCCTTGAGATAGTAAAATTTTGCAATTTTCAACTTGTGTCGCATGGAACTCAAAAAGTATTTGACCTAGAGTCATGAAACTTTACAGGAATGTTGATAAGCATGTGTAGTTGTGCACCTGGGTATTTTCGTCTGGATATTTTTAGTATTTTCAGAGTTATTGCCCTTGACTTAGTAAAATTTTGCAATTTTCAACTTGTGTTGCAAGTAACTCAAAAAGTATTTGACCTAGAGTCATGAAACTTTACAGGAATGTTGATCAGCATGTGTAGTTGTGCACCTGGGTATTTTCGTCTGGATATTTTTAGTATTTATAGAGTAATTGCCCTTGACTTAGTAAAATTTTGCAATTTTCAACTTGTGTCGCACGTAACTCAAAAAGTATTTGACCTAGAGTCATGAAACTTTACAGGAATGTTGATCAGCATGTGTAGTTGTGCACCTGGGTATTTTAGTGTGGATATTCTTAGTATTTTCAGAGTTATTGCCCTTGACTTAGTAAATTTTGCAATTTTCAACTTGTGTTGCAAGTAACTCAAAAAGTATTTCACCTAGAGTCAAACTTTACAGGAATGTTGATCAGCATGTGTAGTTGTGCACCTGGGTATTTTCTTCAGGATATCGTTAGTATTTTCAGAGTTATTGCCCTTGAGTTAGTAAAATTTGGCAATTTTCAACATGTGTCGCATGTAACTCAAAAGTATTTGACCTAGAGTCATTTAACTTTACAGGAATATTGATCAGCATGTGCAGTTGTGCACCAGGTATTTTCGTCTGGATTTATTTAGTATTTTTAGAGAGCCCTTCACTTAAATTTTTGCAATTTTCAACTTGTGTCGCAAGTTTCTCAAAAAGGATTTGACATAGTCCTTAAACCTTATGGGCAGGTTGCTCAGCATATTTTAGATTTGCACCTGGGGTTTTGCTTGTGGATTTATCCAGTATTTGTAGAGTTATTTCCCTTGAATTAGTAAAAAGATTGACAGAACAGTGGCGCGGTGGGGGCACCCGTGTCCTATGGACACATTTCTAGTTTTTATATCACTTGACTGGAATTAATTTTTCGAGATTAATGTCCCATTTGATATATGTCTAGACTAATAGCTTGTGTGAAAAATTTCAGATTTTTCTGTCATTTGTTTTTCCAGAATAATTATTATACAAATGTAATTGTGAAAATTATGACCTAAAATGGGGCCAGAAATAGCACAAAAGTAAAATTTACAATTTATTTCTGACTATATATCTTCTTTATCTTTTACAGATCTTTCTGTGTTAAGTGCCCCAGGGGATCTATGTAAGAAATTCAAGAAAAATTTTGAGTCTGTTGAACCTCCTTTAACCTTTTATGTGCTAAACCTTTACTGCCAGTTTTAGAGTCACGTCATGATGCACATTAATGCATTCTAGCCAGACTTTGTACTCTTGACATTTTTTTTTTACTTTTCATCAAGGCTTAGTCATTGACCATCCTTGAAAGTGTTTTTTACTACATGACATCATTGAGCTGAATGTAAAATTTCATGTTCATAAGGCTTGTCTCATTACATTTTTGTGTGCAACTGTGAATCATATAAATTATCATCTTGAATAAGTCATACTCTTTGGTATAAACTTTATAGTTTACAAATTGTTAAACTTTGTGTTTATTTGAAAAGCTGAGAAAAAAAACCCTTAGTTTTTGATTTCATAGTGTTTAAAACTTATTACATCAACTCTATGAACTGTATGTGACAGCCTAGGAAAAACACACCTGTTTTTTTTATTTCATTAAGTGTTTAAAAATTTAAACATAAACTCTAAGAATGATGTCATTGGTTTACCAGCGCCAAAGACATCATTTAACCATGCAGTGTCATTATGTTTTCTTGAATGTTTAATATTTTGGTACGGATTTATTTTTGAATTAAAACAAAATGGCAGTTCCAAACAACTGACTGTTCAAAATTATTAAACTTAAGCAGTTGACAATTCCAAGCTTAACTAAAACATTTTAACAATTTCAAGTTCAGTGGAAACTTGAAAGTAATGTATAAAGATTTTTTATGATGAGGCCATTTTAGCATTATCAATTACTCAAACTATTGTCTCGACAAAGGTGTTGGGGGCAGGGGGCTTGTTGCCATTTGGGGGCAGGGGCCTGTGGCCATTTGAGGGCAGGGGGCCTGTGGCCATTTGAGGGCAGGGGGCTTGTTGCCATTTGGGGGCAGGGGCCTGTGGCCATTTAAGGGCAGGGGGCCTGTGGCCATTTGAGGGCAGGGGGCTTGTTGCCATTTGAGGGCAGGGGGCTTGTCGCCATTTGAGGGCAAGGGGGCTTGTTGCCATTTGAGGGCAGGGGCTTGTTGCCATTTGGAGGGAGGGGGCTTATTGCCATTTGGTACCTTGTTCATCTCACAAGTACTGTATAGTCTAAGCTGTCATCTAAAGTCAGTTTTTATCAAAATCAAACTAAAATAGGTAGTTAAATTTAAGGGAAAACTTCATGCTTTATTCATCAGAAACCAATTCCGTAGATGATTTATTACCTGTACTACATTTTTGTCTTAGTAGCACATCATTCTGTCTTGAAGAAAAAGTCAAGCTATTATGGTTGCTGTGGGTTTTTTTGGCAGTTATTCTTGTTATGCATGCAAAAACTTAAATGTAGTCCATTATTTAAACAATTTAATAGGTATCCACATCAAACTTGGAATACTTGCTTATCATGACAAGGTACAGTTGTAAGACATTAGGGGGGTTATTCGGAAAGCTTTATTTTTGAACTAATGCCCCTTTTAAACCTAGCTCCTTTTTTTGTTGTCAAAATTGGTAATTGGTAGTCAGCAATGTTATGTATATTTTTTATTTTTCTAGAATAATGCGCGCTATATTGAGACACAGACAGACAGATGGGAGGATGACAGTAACCCTATTGTCAAAGTTGCCAAAACCATGGCAACCCAGATCAAACATATGACTCAATATGTGAGACGTGAAGGTCCGATAAATGTAAGTATAAAATAAATTCCCAGATTAGAAGTTTTAATTTTTTTTTTTATAATTTCCTCTGGAAACATGTTTTTGGGAGTCGAGAGAATTTGTAGTCTTTCAACTTTTATAGAATGGAGTGTATTCCCCCTTCCCGCAGGGACTTGGATTTTTCATATGACGAAGCTTTCCTTTTGGCTATCCAGCTAGCAACTTGAAACATAACAAAAATAAACAAACAAACAAAAAACCAGAATGAAGTGACAGGTGTGTACATACATAACTGTAGAAACCACTGGTTTTTAAACAATGAAAGAAAGGTGTAAAGGGTGTGTAATTAATAATAGGAAGAAAGTAAATGTCATGTAAAATAAAAACTATGTCAAAGATATTGTTTATTTGATACAGTCTTGTAATTTCCAAACAATCTTTCTTTTATTTTAATCTGGAGAAATGGAAGATTTCTTGAGACTACTGAAAACAAAGGCAAAAAGTTGAAAATTGCAGAAAATTGGTCAAGTTTGATTAATTTATAATATGCTCATTAAGATAATAAAAGTTGCAATATCTGAGAAAAGTTGCAATATCTCTCACACAGCCCAGCCACTGGCTCAACCTGTGTAGTCTTGAATACTATGTATTGTCCAACAATATTGACTTGGCACATTAATTTCCGTAAAGGTCAGGTGATAAACAGTAGTATCTAACAAATATATCGATATCTTTGTTAACTTCACAAGTCAATGAGTTGTGGTGTATTGGTATAGATGCCTGACTACTGATCTGAAGTTCTCTGGTTTGATACCTTACCAACACCACGTTATGAGGACATGCATTTTTTTATTTTATTTTAGATTTACTTGTAAGAATTAATTTGAAATCCTTTTACTACATCTGGTTTTTAGGATACCTTTTAAGTAGTTGTTTTTAAACCATTTTACTTTTTATTTCATTACATTATCTTAAATATATAAAAAGGACAGCGTGTTCATAATGCAAATTAAAAATATTACACAGATAGAATTCAGACTAAAAAATCAAAATGTTTTGCACGAGTTAAGAGAGAAATGGCAATTTTAAGATAAGAAAAGAAAAAATATAATGAAAGTTGCTGAACCTACGAGTTTACATCTATATTCTTGAAGTGAAAGCCCTGCAATGAATGTGCTAAGAGGGATTAATAATTTAGACCATTTAACAACTGGTTATATACATTCATATCAATTTACAAGTAGATAGTAACGTTTACGGAATTTACCGACTATGGGGTCAAATGCAAGAGTGCCAGGTCAATGCTATTGGACAATATCACAATAAATGATATCGAGGAACGAGAAAAAAATAAAAACACTGGAGTGAAGTATAGAAGGACACACATAACAGAAAATTTTGTTATTTAGAGGAGAATTAGTTGTATGGTTTGGTTAATGATGCACTTTTGGATGTAAACAAGCAAAGGTACATGATGTGTATACAATTTAAATCTAAATAATGATTTGTTTCAGAATCACCTTGCATTGGTAGAGACAGCAAAAGCTCTGGCTGAGAATAGCGACAAGGTTCTGCACTTTGCCCACATTTTAATCAACCATTGTATTGATAAGAGGTAAGAGAAAGTAACTTTATTTGGAAAACTTTATAAAAAAAGTTTTTTCTTTACCCTTTTAACCTGCTGAAGTTTTCAATTGGACTTGCCCAGCTTCTATTTTCGGAACTGTCCATAATCAAATTTGGGTATATCAAGATAAAAGTTTGAATTTGGTTATGAGTAGTGTAATGCCTGGTCAGAAAGCACCAATATCCTAGGAAATACCCTGATGTCTCTTTTCAAAGCTTGGCCTTGGACTGTATCATTTGCTAAAATTTTCTCCATTTTAATCCCTTTCTCATTTTCATGCCAGTAAACTAGACATTGTGTATAAAGGTCAAGGTCATATAGTCAGGTATTTCAAGGTTGGGTGGGTATGCACCTCTGATGAACATTTATATTCTATATTGTCACCGTAGTGCAGTAATTGGTTAATTCCTAGGACTTAACCCGTTACAGCACTAAGGTGACAATTAAATTACTACCTAAGTCAATCTAAGGTAATACATGATTGTACTGATTTTTATCATGTTTTGTCTTACAGGAATGTATATACTGTATTTGCTATATTTTCAGCTTTTGTGAGGATTTACAGGCCTATTGTTTACAAGTGCCTACAGTAAAACAACAGTTACTTATCCTGTCAAATCTTCAACTAGGCACAGCCAAAACTGATACAGTAAGTTACCTCCCTTGTTTTGTTATTTCCCCCATTAATCTTTTCTCTCCCTCTTATCATCATTGTATCTCATAAATTGAATGGTTTTAGCAATATATATGCATATATGCATTGCTTTAGATATATTGTATAGTTAAAAGTTGAAGTTGTAAATACATATTCCTTAGATGAATCAGTCAGTTAAATGTTGAAAATGTTAAACTCCAAAAACAGGCAATTAGACAGAATTTGTCTGTGTCAGTTCTATGTGTCTGTTTGTATGCACGGAGCTTATCCCTTTTTCTGCTGGGACCGTAAGTGATCGACCTTTGCCACTCTTACAGTGTCAGTGTGAGGGTGAAGCCAAGGACAACAACAAAAATTTACCCCCATAAGGCCATATCTCTGTTGAGAGCTTCGTTAATAATTTATTGAGATAATTATTATGATATTCACCCGTGTGCAACAAGGTTTGTGAGGTGAACAGGGGCATTGTGTTTTATGAACTTCTGTACTGGTATATTTGATAATGTTTACTTTGATTTTCATAAAAATAACTTCTCAAAAAGAAGATACTTTTTTGACAAAGCTTGGATTTAAAACCTATGTCACTCACATTTTAGTAGATTTCGTTGTATATTGTTTTTCTTAAAGAAAACAGCATTCCTCAAGATTACATTACACACAAAATAAGACAAATTGAGTATAATTTTTGACTAAGAAGGGGCAAAGGATAGGAAAAAAATAGATTTAGAACATAAAAATGGTTGCATGTACATGTATAATATATGTGTAACGGTGTGAATACTACATGTGTAACGGTGTGAATATTGTAATATATGTGTAATGGTGTGTGAAGTGTAAACTTTTGGTGATATGAAACAAGTATCATTATGATATTATTCCATTCAGATATTAAGAATATATGAAAATTGTGAGGTAAGAATGTTTGAAATAACCATGTATTATATAACCTACAAGGCTCCAACTTATGATAACAAATTCCAGTCACAATTTTTTTCTTAGATTTAAGGATCATTAATGAAATTTAAGTTGTTTGGTCTCCTTTCTTTTATTTTTCTTTTAAGACTGTCAATAATTATTTAATAAATATTAGGAAGAAATGAGGTTTTTGGTCTTTTTCCTTTCATTTATTTTTCAAACTGGCATTTAACATTAAGGAGAACGGTCCTAATAGGGAAGTTCTTGCATGTGATTGGATACTAGCTGAGATGATAAGAGACGTATGTCACCAATAGAGCATCAGATTGGTTATTTAGTGATCGCAGGTTTGATCCTTAGGCAAGGTATAATTTCTGCATGACAATTTATCTCAGATATTGACTCTAATGGTCATTTGTCTCTCAATGCTGCTTCAGAAATCATGTGGAAATTGTACTCGGACACTTGCCGAGAAATTTCTAAAAACTGGTTAGTTATCCAGGAAACCAGTTTGGTGGTTTGGCTGCTGAAATATGACTAAAAAGTGTTAAAAGCATTATTTAATTTAGCTGGTTAGTTATCCAGGAAAGCTGGTTTGGTGGTTTCGACTGCTGAAATATGACCAAAATGTGTGTTAAAATCAGCTTTAAAATCTAAAGTACAAACAAACAAACAAAGTCACCTAGCTATAATGAGTCAGGTTAGTTCGGACATCTATGATTGGCCAGACCTCAGTGTTCTGGGTAAAAAAAAACAAAAAAAACTTTTACATGCATATACATTGTGTGCATATTGCATGATGAAATGTTGTTTTTTTTTGTTTTGTTTTTTTTAACTAGTATTAGTATGTAGATATTAAAATATTCCTTAAATTATTATTGACAGTTTAAAGATCAAGGTACATGTCTATATTACACAACAGATTAATGATGGGAGTTAAAGAAATTGTTCTTCTAAGTTGGAGCCATGGCCTGTATTCTATAACCGTCCTGAAATATTTTCAATTAATTTATGAAAGTTTAATTATTTAACTACAAATGAATATTCATTTATGCACCAGTCAGTTGTACCCCGCCTCGTGCACATATGGAAGGCATGTCCCTGGGATAGCTGGTAAAACTAGGTTTGTTTTGTATCAACCATCTGACCTGACACCGATTGTTTGATGCAATGGTGTTGTTGAGGGGGGTTTTTTTTTGGGCATTAGGAATTATGTCCAGTTTGTAGTGAGTCTACATTTAGAACATAATTGACCTTAAATCTGTTTTTATCCCTATGAAGAAGGGGGGAGAGTGGTTTACCTTGAATTAGATAATTGTTAAATACTGGTTATTTCTCAGAGAGTGGGGTGTTGGGTCACCACTGACTGATGCTTTACTAAAGGGAGGGATCCCGTTTTTTGTTATATTGAAGTTTCGTAATTTAAAACAGGATCTAAATTTAGAATACAGGCTATATGATATATATATTATTTTTTTTAAAAGAATTATTTATCTAATAAGCACATTAAAAGGTAATTTAGTTGCTATGATAATTATGCTATAATATTTATTATTATTTTAATTTTATTTCACATGTATATTATGTTTTTTGTAAAGAGCAAAATAGGTTGTGGTTAGGAAAAAAAGAACCTTTTTTATTGAAGGACACCTCAATTTTTTAATATAGGTGATAGATTTGTATTTTTATATTTTTTCCCTTTTTGCTTTTAAAAATGATACAGCCCGCAGATTGGTATCATGAATTTTTGATAGAATCAAACTGAGGAAAATTGATAAATATGTTAATAAATCAAAAAAAGGAATACATATTCATGATCTTGGTAACCAGCCCCTGACACTGGCTTTGAACCCTCACAGCCAGCAATTTGTATATTATTTAATTTAGTCTAAGATGTTAACCACTTGGTTTCACGGCCACTTAAAATTGACAATTAGTTACGTGCAAAAAAATTGTGAAGACTTATAGATACTCATGAACAAACTCAATCAAACTGAGTCCGAAGTTTTCAATTCTAAACTTTAATTTCATTGCTCTAAAAGGATAACATGTTTTCAAGATTTAAAGTAGCATATAATGGTACAACACAAGTCAATTCTTAAAGTTGGGGTCTTTTTGATTTATTATACAAGTTTGGTAATACTTATAGTTTTTACTTGTAGTTTTTCATTGGGTTTATATTTCAGGTAAATCTGATTATTTTAGAATTTTGAGTAGAAAATTTTTAGATGATGAAAATTTTCATCTGTGTAAATTTATCATTGTTATTTATCTTAAGATATTATTGGTTGCAATTTTAGGAATTGCAGAATTTCTTGATTTATTTTCAAAATTTTTGGAAAGTTGGTCGTTACATTGCCGTATAGTAGTCATCAGGTTTACAAGGCAGTTTAAAAAAGTAAACTGGATGTTTATAAATATTCAAGAAGAATTTTCTAATGAGTGGAGATTAAATTTTGGATTTGTTTTCTTAATTAACAAAGTTTGAAATAAATTTTTGTTTTTAGTTTGCAGTTATGGAATTGACTTTATTGCTTTTTACTTTGGAAATGATGAAAATGATATTTGCTAGTGGAGAATATTTTGTATCTTTTATTTTACTCTTACCCTTCTGGTTGCAACCACAATCAACTGACTGACAGTCATCTGTGCTGCCTAATCATGGTCTGCCTCAGATTTTTTCACTCTTCAGAAATGCAAAAGTAAATTTCATAACATTTAAATGATAGTTTAAGAGCTTGTCAGATGCTGACATCTCCTGCAGAAAGAAGCACTGAAGGTGACATAATTTGTCAAAGAAAGTACTAAAATGTAAACAAAGTAGTGTTCTGTCAGCCATACAAAATACTAAATCACTATAGGTGTACTTATTGCCAAGTAGCAAAAGAAGATTCAGATATTTAGCCAAAAAGTATCTATTTGGAAACTAGAATAGAAAAGCAAAAAGGATTTTTTGAAAATTAAGAATAAAAGCATTTTGGTGGGTATAAAGGGCGTTTAAGTTAGGTTTAAAAAAAAATAAAAAAAATTGTATGTCAAAGTAAACATAGGTTGTTGTTGACCATTGTTCTATTCATTGAAAATCTTTAACATGTTTACAGGCTGACCGAATTCTAGTCCAGAATGCACAAAACTTGATGAAGCGTATCCTGCAGACTATATCAGCTTGTGAGGCAGTCTGTGTCAAGGTATGTAACTCTCAACATTATATCTGTTTCAAGAAAGATAACTCTTTTTCAAAAATCTAATTTCAAGAATTGGTAACATTATTCCTGTGTCAAGTTAGGTAAAGCATCACTTGATGAATCAAAAAAGGCAACAGCTTCTGTTTCTTCACATGGTTCCTTTGTCAAAGCCAGTATTAGTCCAGTGTATAGTAAATGTCACTTTTTTGTGTGATTGAAGATTAAAGATTTTCTTATTTATTTAAATATAAAAATGATTTTTCTAATGTATTTCAGGGATTATCACCCACTGTAACTGAGAACTCAGAAAGTTCAATACTGCTGGCAACAAGATGGCGACAGAAACACGCAGCACATCGTCAACAGGAAGTTCTAGACTGGGACACAGATGATTTGGGTCTCAGGATTGTTGAAGGCAACGACCTTCCACCTGCTCTTACACAAATATTTCAACCCTGAACACATTACAGTCAAACTTGTGAACAATGGTCACCCAAGATAGAGAGACAAATAATGGTCTTAAAGCAGCATGCCTCCACATTCATGTTAATTTTCATAAAAATTTTGGAAATGTATTTAAAAGTAAAATATTGTGAGGATAGCAAATAAAGCAATCGGCACTTACAATAAAAGAAAATTACAAAAAAAATGGTTAAGATATGCAAAAACACCTCTTACTGCATTAGTAACACAGTAGAAATATGGTGATGAAATACTGCAAAATCAGTCTTAAACCCCACAAAACATGCAAAATATAACTTGGATCTTGAATGTTTTCACCTTTCTTAACATTATTGTACATTTTTCTCAATATTGATTTCCTTGAAAAATTTTAGTGCTTATGGAGGCGTGTAGCTTTAATAGATAAGTGGTCTTAATTTTGAGGTTATTATATTCCATTTAAACAATGAAGTAGCCTTTATAGGCAGGGTTATCTTTATTAAGAGGTGGTCTTTGACACTGGTTTGACTGTACAGGTTTCTGAAATTTTTATCTTGACGGAATACTGACCAATATGATGATATTAAAAAAATGATCAAGTATTAATAATGCATAATGAGTGTTTAAATTCTTTCATTTTTGAAAAAGAAAGTAGAGATTTTTGAAGAAGGATTTAAGGAGGGCAATGCTCAAACTTTAGTGATATCTTCTTGAGCATTGTTACATAATGAAACTGTCCTACGTGTTATTGACATGGTATTAAACTGAGGCACATAGAACAGAAACAAATGAAAAAGATAATTAAGAAATATACTCCGAAATATATTGAAAATTGTATTTTTGTTTTTTATGCTCCCCGAAAAATTTCGGGGGAGCATATAGTCGGCGCCTTGTCCGTCTGTCCGTCCGTTGTCTTGTCCGGAGCATAACTTGAAAACCCTTGGAGATAATTTGTTGAAACTTCATACAGTGGTAGAGGGCATCGAGGGGGAGTGCAGTGTCAAAGAACCATAACTCTATTTTGCCCGGTTTTTGAATTATCTCCCCTTATAGAAAAATCTTGTCCGGGGCATAACTCTAAAACTATAAGAGATATCAACATGAAACTTTGTAGGTGAACAGATCTCAATGGGTAGATGTGCAGTGCATAAGAACAATAACTCTTTTCATCCTAATTTTGGAGTTATTGCCCTTTGTTAATTTTAATACTTTGAACTTGAACTTTGTCCGGAGCATAACTTGAAAACCCTTGGAGATAATTTGTTGAAACTTCATACAGTGGTAGAGGGCATTGAGGGGGAGTGCAGTGTCAAAGAACCATAACTCTATTTTGCCTGGTTTTTGAATTATCTCCCCTTATAGAAAAATCTTGTCCGGGGCATAACTCTAAAACTATAAGAGATATCAACATGAAACATTGTAGGTAGATAGATCTCATTGAGTAGAGGTGCAGTGCAAAAGAACCATAACTCTGTTAAGCCTTATTTTTGAATAATCTCCCCTTTTAGAAAAATCTTATCCAGGACATAGCTGTAAAACTATAAGAGATATCAACATGAAACTTTGTAGGTAGATAAATCTCAATGGGTAGATGTGCAGTGCACAAGAATCATAACTCTACCTTGCCTAATTCTGGAGTTATTGCCCTTTGTTTATTTTTACTTTTTGAATTGTCCAGGACATAACTCGGAAATCATAAGAGATATCATCAAGAAACTTTGTAGGTTGATAGATCACATTGATTAGAAGTGCAGTGCAAAGAACTGTAACTCTGCCTTGCCTAATTTTAGAATTATTGCACTTTGAAGTTTTTCCACGGACATAACTCTGAATCTACAAGAGGTGTACTTTCCTGTGTCCAAAACCTATTCGGGGAGCATCACCCGGCTCAAACCGGGCTCTTGTTTCTTTTTTTTTGCCTGACTAGATGAAATTTTTTTTAATGTTTAGAGGTACTTTTCTTTAAATACAGTTGTCATTTAGAGATACTTTTTAACCAGGTTTTCAATTTTGAAAATCCTGGTTATTAGATTGGGGTATGGCGGGCGGATGGGCGGATGGGCGGGCGTCAAACGAAATTGTGTCCGCTCTGTAACTCTTCAACCCTTTGAAGAATTTTGATGAAACTTCAGACAAATGTTTACCACATCAAGATGACGTGCAGAACGCATGTTCCGCATGGCTGGCTCCAAGGTCAAGGTCACAGTGACATTAACATTGAAAATCCTGTCCGCTCTGTAACTCTTCAACCCTTTGAAGAATTTTGATGAAACTTCAGACAAATGTTTACCACATCAAGATGACGTGCAGAACGCATGTTCCGCATGGCTGGCTCAAAGGTCAAGGTCACAGTGACATTAACATTGAAAATCGGCGGGCGTCAAACGAAATTGTGTCCGCTCTGTAACTCTTCAACCCTTTGAAGAATTTTGATGAAACTTCAGACAAATGTTTACCACATCAAGATGACGTGCAGAACGCATGTTCCGCATGGCTGGCTCCAAGGTCAAGGTCACAGTGACATTAACATTGAAAATCCTGTCCGCTCTGTAACTCTTCAACCCTTTGAAGAATTTTGATGAAACTTCAGACAAATGTTTACCACATCAAGATGACGTGCAGAATGATGTTCTGCATGGCTGGCTCCAAGGTCAAGGTCACAGTGACATTAACATTGAAAATCCTGTCCGCTCTGTAACTCTTCAACCCTTTGAAGAATTTTGATGAAACTTCAGACAAATGTTTACCACATCAAGATGACGTGCAGAACGCATGTTCCGCATGGCTGGCTCCAAGGTCAAGGTCACAGTGACATTAACATTGAAAATCCTGTTTACATGATTTTAACTTGATTTGGCAGTCAAAGGTCATATCATCTTTGGAGGTAATTTAAAAAAGATATGATATATTATTTCATGTCTACTTTGTAACTTGTTTTTCATTATACAGAATTATCAATATAATTATAGTGAACAAATTCTTCTGTGCTGAACTCGTCCTACATTTCTCAACAGATTTTGTTCAAACTTTCACAGAAGCTTTGTCATCAAGCACCCTGGCACATATTGTCGGGGTTTTGTGATTGGATAGTTTTTGACCTAATTATGGCCCTTTGTTTTTTTCCTTATACATAATATTATAGTGAACACTTCTTCAGTGGCAATTCCTCCTACATTATTCATGTTTTACATTGCACATAGTTACATTGTTTGTTGCTTGTATTTGTATTTCAAATACAACATATTTATCTACAATGGTGATAATTGAAAACCTGGTTTCATGGCATTGCCATGTTTCTTGTCTCTTAATATTTTGCACAATGAGGACCAAACTATTCAAGAAATGCTTGTGTCCCACTTATGACCAATATAATTAATGTTGTTTTTTTTTAAGTTTATTGCATTTATATATTCGGGAAGGTGCTGATATTTTTTTTTTTTTTTTTTATTTTTCAATTTACATATATGAACTATATCATTATCATTTTTTGTTGTCACATTATAATAGCATAATACATAATTATATAAAAATGTAACATATCATGAAAAATGTTAACATGGTATTTTTTCAGGATATTATATTTTGCTGCCATGGAGAAATCCTATTATACTCATTTTGATCAACTTTACCATCCTGTATTTTGTATAGTGGACTTGTCTTTGCTTTGAATTTAGAACAGTCCATTGTTTTGGGTGTTTCAGTATGGAAATGCTAAAATTTATCAACCAACTAATAACAAACTAGAGTTAGTTTACTTGATTGTGCATAATGGTCTGAAAAAAAGTTGAGATTGTGTATTTTATGCCCCATTGGCATAAAGTATAGTTATTAAACCGTCCATCTGTCTGTCTGTACGAGGTTTACCTAAACTGGCATATTGGATTTATCTTAAGTTCTACCTGTTTCAATGACTGCATAATTTATACTCTTACTAAACAGTACAATGTATATGATCTGGGCAACTAAAGCTTTCATTTTTTCCAAGTTATTGCCCTTTTGAGCACTTTGAAAATGGATATGGTTAACCTAAACCGGCAAGGTGGATATACATGTATCTGAAGTTCTATCTGTACTAATGACTTCATAATATACACATTTTTTTACTGACAAGAATCTGGGCTTGGGAAATTTGTGTTTACCAAATGAGCCGCGTCATGACAAAACTAACATAATGGATTTGCGACCAGCATGGATCCAGACCAGCCTGCGCAGTCTGATCAGGATCCATGCTGTTCGCTATCAGCAAACAGCATGGATCCTGATAAGACTGCGCAGATGCGCAGGCTGGTCTGGATCCATGCTGGCCGCAAACGCATTACGTTGGTTTTGTTGTGACATGGCTCAAATATGTTCTTGTTTGTGTAAGTTCTTGTAATTTCTTATATTCATTTTTCTTTTTTTTCTTCTTCTTTTATTGATCAACTTTGTTTGCACTGTTGATTATAATTTCGATAGCTGTGATTTAATTTACGAGTCTGTCTCCACAATGTAAGTTTGAATGTTACTGTATAGCTCTAGTTGCAATGTCATATACATGTATGAAGAACTTGTATTATTATTATTATTATTATTATAAATACTTGTATTATCTAATGTCAACAAAAAAATCTGACTGAATTAGCCTTTTATTTAGCAATATTAATATATATATTTTGCTTACTTTAAATTAAATGATTATTATATACATGTATGTGTATTTGAAATAACATTTTCCTGATATTTTCTATGTATTCATTTTATTTTATTATACCCCCGCACAACAAAGTTGTAAGGGGGGTATACTGGAATCAGATTGTCTGTCCGTTCGGCTGTCCGGCCGTCCGTCGTTTTTTTCTTGTCCGCCCAATAACTAAAGATTCCTGTGACCCACAGTCTTCATATTTGGCATGGAGGTTAGTCATGATTAGTAGATAACCCCTATCGATTTTTAGGTCACCAGGTCAAAGGTCAAGGTCGCAGGGGCCTTGACTTCAAAAAGCTTGTCCGCCCAATAACTTAAGATTCCTTTGACCCACAGTCTTCATATTTGGCATGGAGGTAAGTCATGATTAGTAGATGACCCCTATCGATTTTGAGGTCACCAGGTCAAAGGTCAAGGTCACAGGGGCCTTGACTTCAAAAAGCTTGTCCGCCCAATAACTTAAGATTCCTTTGACCCACAGTCTTCATATTTGGCATGGAGGTTAGTCATGATAAGTAGATGACCCCTATCGATTTTGAGGTCACCAGGTCAAAGGTCAAGGTCACAGGGGCCTTGACATCAAAAAGCTTTTCCGCCCAATAACTTAAGATTCCTATGACCCACAGTCTTCATATTTGGCATGGAGGTTAGTCGTGATAAGTAGATGACCCCTATCGATTTTGAGGTCACCAGGTCAAAGGTCAAGGTCACAGGGGCCTTGACATCAAAAAGCTTTTCCGCCCAATAACTTAAGATTCCTATGACCCACAGTCTTCATATTTGGCATGGAGGTTAGTCATGATTAGTAGATGACCCCTATCGATTTTGAGGTCACCAGGTCAAAGGTCAAGGTCACAGGGGCCTTGACATCAAAAAGCTTTTCCGCCCAATAACTTAAGATTCCTATGACCCACAGTCTTCATATTTGGCATGGAGGTTAGTCGTGATTAGTAGATGACCCCTATCGATTTTGAGGTCACCGGGTCAAAGGTCAAGGTCACAGGGGCCTTGACTTCAAAAAGCTTGTCCGCCCAATAACTTAAGATTCCTATGACCCACAGTCTTCATATTTGGCATAGAGGTTAGTCGTGATTAGTAGATGACCCCTATCGATTTTGAGGTCACCAGGCCAAAGGTCAAGGCCACAGGGGCCTTGACTTCAAAAAGCTTGTCCGCCCAATAACTTAAGGTTCCTATGACCCACAGTCTTCATATTTGGCATGGAGGTTAGTCATGATAAGTAAATGATCCATATTGATTTTGAGGTCACTGGGTCAAAGGTCAAGGTCACAGGGACCTTGTCAAAATAAAGCTTTCCCCCTCAATTGCTTCAGAATGCCTGTCCAGAGTGTATTGATTTTGACATTTTCACATTTGAAGCATGTAGAATACATAACATAGCAATGCACTGGCTTAGTAACCTCAGATTTGGCAGGGAGGTTGTCCTTGAGTTCTAAATGGCCACTGTTGATTCTGACAAAATGGTATGCGGGGGTATTCACGCCATGATAGTGGCAGTTCTAGTTTTTAGCAGTGAAGTGAAATAAGTAATTGTTAGAAGATTTTTAGAATATTTTATTTAGTTTTTTTTACTGTATTTATTGTTAGCCTGCAATATAAAAAATGATATTATAATTAGGAAATAGATATCAATTCTGAGTGCATTGTTGAAAAATAATGCACAGTTTAAGTTCAAATGTGTAGGAATATAATCAAGATTGTGAATAAGTACAAAGCATAGAAACGAAAATATTCACATTATAAAACTTTAGTGCACTAAAGATTAATATCTATTTTCATTCTAACATGCAAATAAAAAAAAAAAATTGATATCAATACGTTGAATTGAGCGTAGAAGTAATTTTCCTGTCAGCATTTCTTTTTTCATGCTTTGCATATATGAGCCGTGTCATGACAAAACCAACATAATGGGTTTGCGACCAGCATGGATCCAGACCAGCCTGCGCATCCGCGCAGTCTGATCAGGATCCATGCTGTTCACTTACAAAACATATAACCAGTAGAGGAACTGATAGCGAACAGCATGGATCCTGATCAGACTGCTCGGATGCGCAGGCAGGTCTGGATCCATGCTGGTCGCAAACCCATTATGTTGGTTTTGTCATGACACGGCTCATTTGTGTGCCCTATCTGTTTGATGGGGAATAATATGAAGTGTTTTAGAATGTACATTCCTGTATCACCTAATTACTAATACAACTACGGGAAGTAACTCAAAAAAAAATCCAATATATGACACAGTTACTTCCCCTAGTATTTGTTAAGTGTGTGAAAACATTGCTACAAAAAAAAATAATAAATAGACTCTGATTAAACAATGACAATGTTTTGTATTCAGCTTTTTGTAATTTATTTTAGTTAAAATGGGTCAATTTCAGCAGATCATTCTTCATTTCGACAAATTTTTTTACATAACAAACAAAAAGGGAGATAATTTGAATATTGTGGGTACTTTGATGTATAATTTATATTTAGCTCTTGTGGATTTACTTGAACCAGTCTTGCATTATATGCTTCATCAATTGGGATAATTGAGGTCTTGCAAAATCCGCACTAGTCAAATGATCAGGATTCTCCTATGAAATAATAACCCTTGCTATATTTGCTATTTTTAGTGGTGCATCTGTGGTCCAGTAGTTATGGTTGTTGATTTAAAACCACTTGTACCTAACAGCTATGGGTTTGATTCCAGCCAGGGACATTTGAGTCAATCATGTGAGGAATCTATCCAGCTATCTAGCTAAAACATATTTCTTTATATCCAAACCATGAAAATAATTTTGTTCTACATGTTAAAACATATTTTTACAATATAGCTTTAAGAAGATGAAGTGTAAAGTATCGTGTTTAAATATATTTAATGAAATATTATAATTGATAACATTTTTACAATGTAAAACTCATTCCGTCCCGTACACACTTTAGTCATATCTTGTAAGCATTTTATATTTCAACCCTTAACCTACAGAAATTCCTAAGCATACATGTCCAGTTTCCATTTTGTGGAACTTTCCATTATCAATTTTGGGGGTTTAAGAAATTCTTTTGCAGACATGTCTAGTTTCCATTTTTGGAACTTTTTATTATCCATTTTGGGGGTTTATAATAGAAAAATTCAGTTAGCCAAAACGGTTATTAGCCAGTGGTATAGAGCCTTGTCAGAACGTTGATGCACATGCAGGCTGGCCTGTCTCCATACTAATGGTAAAGGCAAAGTCACTTGGTTTCTGCATGTTCAGGGTTAAATTTATTATGCTTTATTTTATTTGTTTATATCGAATTATACATTGATATTGTAGGGATGCAACCCCTTTTTTACCTTGCCAGTAAACATTTTTGGTTAGAGCATAATTTGAAACTGATTCAGTTAACAACCCATTTTAACTGAACTTTTTTTTTAGATGCCATTTATTTGATAAGAAAATCAGCTGTTTTTTAGAAAAGATGAAGATGAAGTAAAATTTAAAAAATAAAGGAGATGTTTATTTTTTTTATCTCTGAATATTTATCTTTGTGTATGCAATAAATGGTATGATATACATTGGTGATACAATCATGGCTGTTAAAAAAAAGCTGTCATCAATACATTTATGTTAACTGTTGAACCTTGAATTATGCAAACATACTCGTATATTCATGTTATACTTTGAACTATGCAAACATTCCTTTTACATTATATAATGCTTATTATGCCAGTATATACATTGTATTATGATGTTTAAATATATAAGTTTAATTTTTTAATACATGTGCGTCCTTGTTTTTTTCTGTAGTATGTCCATTTACTAGGTCAACTGAGAACAAAATGCTCAGTTTTCACTCCGAATCACGGCAGAAAGCCACATTGAATTTACCAAAACACAGTTCAGCCACAGCATCTTTCAATAGATTTATAATACTGCACAAAAGTTGTTTTTACAATGGATAATCTTGACGTTTATACTCGCATCATCTATATACACAGCATCATGTTTGTTACAGAATCGTTTCCCTATAAAAAAAAGCAGATAACTCTTGCAGATATAGTCAACCTTAAAGAAATTGTGTCATCTGTGCGGTCACAGTCCATATTTTATTTCGATCGGTTAATGTCACAAAGTGACAGCTTAGATATTTATCATGAAACATCTTCTAGTGGGTGTCTACCAAGTTTGTTCAAATAACCCTGGTTTAAAATTGGCCTTGGCCCACGGGCCTATATACAGGTGAGCGATTTCAGGGTCTTAATTTGTTTTATGTTAACTTTTTACGTTTTGAAGTCTTTTATTGTTGCATCAGGAAGTTTTATCTTGTTTTCATTCAATTTTATCATGCATGCCCCAGATATAGCCCATGATTTTAGAGTGTATGCGACAGAGCATAATGGATATTTACCCTGTAACATAAACTAACACAGTTAACATTAATTAAATGAGGTTTATATAACATATCAGGGTATACGTGTATGCACAACCTCATATTTTGTGATGAATGCATGACGTATTATCTACAGTATAGATACACATTTTTGCATACTAAATCACCGCTATAATATATAAAAGAGTGTGTATATTTTGATGATTTAGAATTAATTCCGATTTATCTTCTATGAAAATGGATTTAAATGAAGCTGAAAAGAAGTCCGGCAACTTGAATGATAAGTCTAAATATGTTCTGTATGGTGTGGAAGATACTCCTTCGCTACCAATGTGCTTCTTGTTTGGACTTCAGGTAAATTACAAAGCCACATTTGCAGTTTTTGCTTTACTTAACAATTTGCTGCAATTGACTTTTTCTGTTGCGCAGACGAATTCGGCTCAAAATATCATTATAATGACGTTTAATATGACGAAAGCATTTTGAGCTCGATTTTTTTTTCAAATGCTGTGCAATGATTCTAACCGTCGTAAAAAAACGTGGTAAAAAGTTAGTTAATTAAGGCTTTACTGGCAAATAAATTCTTATTTACCCCTGCCACCGTGTATATCCAATAACGCAGAAATGTGCAAATAACGCAGGAGTTGTGCAAAGGCAACGCAGAATTGGGCAATTTGGTGGCTAAAATGAGGACCGCGATAAGTAAATGGACCAATATTTTCATTGTTCACCAAATTGGAAGAAATGAATTAGCGCATACGGTTGCTGAGACATTAAATAAACTTTAAACCTCATCAAAAATATTTCCATGAAAATGTTATTTTTTAAGATCATTCGTGAAAATGACAACCTGACTGGCGTAGCGTATTGATGGCGATTTTCAGATTCGTTGACATCTTTAAATACAATACTACATATTACTTTTTGATTTTTTATATGCGGTGTACCTGAGACATTTTCCAATCTACGCGTGTCATATTACACTTAATTTAGCAGATAAAACGTAATTGATACCATTTTTACGAGGTAACGCCGAATTCGTGAATGAAGCACTGAAGCAACGGCGGTTATCTCGTTAAAAGTAGCTAAATAATATTGTAAGAGCTTCCTTCTATTGTTATACAACACGTGTAGTTTGACAAATGTCTTAGGTATACAGAATATGCAAAATATATTGTTTTAAATCTGTTTAATGTACATATTTATGTGACAAAACACAAAAGTCACCTTCAAACGGTAATCAGGTTGACTTTCTCACGAATGATCTAAAAAAGTAAACATATTCCTGAAAAAAAAATGTAATGCTGGTTAAAGTGCTGTATGAGCTATTTCATTTCAGGAATAAATGTTTTGAAAGATAACATGACGAAAAATGGACATTTTATTGGCGCATCAAGGATATTTTTTCTACACAGGGAAAAAATTATGTTATGTTAAAAGGTTATCGAACTAAATTTAAAATAAATGATATATATTAAAAGCAGTATCAAAATAATTTTCTTGTAAAATTCAATTATCATTTTTTTTTATTAATGTTTTGGTAAGTATATTTGGTTGGAGTACTTTTTGCAATATCTTAATTATCTTCTTCTATATATTCACCTCAAACAACGTTCAGTTTAAAGACGTTTTCCGGAGTTTTCATATAGAGATATAGGCAAAATTAAAACTGTTAAATAGAATTTCTTTAAACTTGGCATGTTGTTAGAATATAATAACAGAAACATTTTTAACGGAAAAAATTGGGGTCGCCGTTCTCATTTTCGTGTTATCTGCCCTTGAATTGGACTTTTTTGTTAAATTCAAGGGCAGATAATTTACAATGAAACGAAACAATCCATTTCTTTCTTCTTAGTTTCATGAAGCTTACCTTCGTTTAAGTCACTATGCAAAATTTCAGGAATGAATTTGAGTGGATAGTTTTTTCCCATTTCTTCACTTAGCCTGTGCATTTTTTAAAAATTGGCCTATTTTTATGAACCTTTATTTTCATTGAAATAAAATTAACGATGTAAGAAATTGCATGTAATTTTGTTTTGTATTCAACAATTAAAAGAAAAACATTATCCAGAAGTAAAAACGTTGATTTATTTACGTATGTATAAGTTATATGCCCTTTAAATTACCTCAAACAAGTAGAAAATTCTCATTCAGGGGCAGATAGCTCAAAACACGAGAACGGTGATCCCAATTTTTTTTCTCTAAGAATGTTTCTTTTATCATATTCTAACAACATTCCAAGTGAAAAGAAATTCTATAGAACAGTTTTAATTTTGCCTACATGTCTACATGAAAACTCCCGAAAACGTCCTTAATGACTTTACATTACACTACAAAAATTTTGTATCAAAATGGAAAAAGGTCCTGAATCAGGTAAACAAAACATAGTCTTTTTACCCCGCAACAGTAGTGAAATTCTTCACTTAAATTTTAAAGTAAAAATGGCTGGAAATCAGCATTATAATTTTTTTACATCTTATATGTTTTATCTATTTTTGTTGATATTTAAACAATTTTTGAAAAATCTACCCCAAGTCAGTGTCCTGTGGCCAATACAATTCTAACTACCTTTATTGTAAGTTTGTTCGGAACGTCGGTGGTCCTACTCAGGTGCCCGTTCGTGCCTGAAATAATGCACGGAAGGGCACCTGAGGCCTTCCTCCACCGTAGCGATATGACCTATACCGTGTCGGTGTGACGTAAAACCCAATCAAACAAAGTAATTTTGTAAAAAGAACGTTTTGAAGCAGATTTTGCCTACTAAATGTTACCTAAGATTATTTGGAAAACATTGAAAAGTTTACCAACTTACAAAAAAAAAATCACACATCCTGTCCCGCTCCTATACCACTAGGTGAAAATGTGCTTGTTTGTTGAAAAACAAAGTTATAACAATTATATTTATCACGTGGCGAGGTTATCAAGGTGTAAGAGTATCCCAGGCTAAGATCCTGGTTCTATACGAGTCATCATTGCCGCAAACATTCAAAAGTTTCACATATATGAGATAACATATAATTATCATATTGTGACTCAAAATGCATTGCGTTTTATGGTTTTGCACTGCATTATTATATGTATAAATGATTTAAGTTATCTATTCATGTCAGATGGAGCAATTCGAACGCTATAATAATAAATGACAGAGAAACTTTAATGATGTTTCTAATAAATTGTATCAAATGTAAATACATTTTCCTCAACTTGTGCACAAAACGCTGTAAGTGCCATATATCTTCTAACAATAAATATCAAACCTATGCCGCCAATGTGGAGTCATGTCCGCTTTTATGTTTTGCAGCGACGCTTTTGAAAAAATTACATCAGCAAGTTGTTGCTACTTCGCTTTTAGCGAACTTCGGATATAACGAAAGATATTTAAATGTCCCATTGAGTTCGTTATAAGCGGAGTCGACTGTACAATGGTATGAAAACTGTAGTTAAAAATTCAGTTAAAAGTAAAAATGCACTGTCACTATAAATCAAGATTATGATGCGCAACATTTCACCGAACCAGTTTGAAAGGCACATTATGCCTCTAAATGTAATTCTGTTTTCATTCTGCAGAAAGGGCAAAATGTGTTTTATAATGTTGCAATAATGTATTTTAAACATGTGAGATGTTTATCTTCTGAAGAAACTAAATATAATGTAAAATATTTTCAAATAATGGTAGCTGAATGTAAACACGGTAGTATTTGGACTCCCTTACCAAATACTAAATCACTATAACTGTACTCATTGCTAAAACGCAAAAGAAGCGAAATATGTCACAGCTTTATGGCCAATAATTAAATTTAGAAACTATAACAGTGCCCTAAAATTAAGAAGCTTTTGAATTATTTTTTTTAGCATTTCTGAGGCTTTATTGGCCTTTAAGAAATGAACTAGCTTTGCAAGTTTCATCAAATATTTATTATGTTGGCTGGTTTCCCGCGTGGTTTTATTATCATGAACGTTATAATGACAATCTTATGTCATTTATAAAGAACGTTACGTTAGCGCCGGGAACCAACTTCATATGGTTCACCAAAATGTGCATCGGTTATGTCCGGTAAAACATATGTTGGTTAAACTCCCATATGATGACAATATTGAACGGTAAGTCTATTACAATTTTGAGTTATTTTTTTTGTTGGATATAAACTATTATTGTAAAAAATCGAAATGTTACTCGACCCTTATAAAGTTCCTTTATGATAACCAATTCATTCTGTGTCAAACAAATATTGACTAGTAATGATGAAAAAGATGCACGCAAGCCCTTATTTGATCATTACTTTGGAAATCAGCAACAGGTGAAAGGAATAATGGTCAAATTGCATATTGTGATACATATGTGGATATGTGTTCCATAGCTAGCATTAAATTCAATAAATAAGAACTACATGTATCTGCAATCAAAACACTGACAAGATATTATTAAAATAAAACTTATACCAGTAACCGAGAAATATTAATATCCTATCATTTCGATATTTTTCTATTATACTTCAAATTCACATAAAAATAATTCAAAATTGAAGAACAATACCGTTCTTTTTTTCTGGAAGACTGTTAATGTGTAACTACATTAAACATGTTTAAGCATATTTTAAGTAATACTAGATTCTATCTTACTTTAATATTTTGAATTTTCATAAATCAGATTATTGTCGTCACGGTACTGAAATAACATTTTTTTGTTTACTTTTACACAGTTACTTTCCGCATTAAGCTGATAGTATACCTTGAATAAATTATATCAGTTTTTTTTTTCTTCTATGTAAATTTTCAATTCATATACTTTTTTTTCGTCTTACGCAGAAAGCGCATGCGCGAATTATTTATTCCTATCTTGGCGGAACATCGTAATGCCCATACATATGATATAAGAAACTGTTGTGTATATTTTAATGTAAATTGATACTTTTTAAAACGTTAACCAGTTTATATTAGTTCCCCTTTGTAGGGTAGATATGAATTTGTATTATAAGTAGGTCTGTTTAAAGTATTCAAAGTAGATCTATTATATTATGATTATGCAGTGTATTTTTCATTTATGACGTCAGCATCGCATGATGTGTGGGCTTGTCTTTGAAGTGTGCAGCCACAGGTGTTCGGCGCATTTATTGGCCCGGGGGTAGTGACCAATCAACGCGCCGAACACCTGTGTATGCAGCAAATTTGATATCTCAGCAAAAAACGAACGTTTCATGTTTAAAAAAGGTGTATTATTTCAAATAAATCACATATTATTATCAAAAAGTTAGTTGTTTTTATCCTATAATCTAATCATTTGATATTATCGTTCATTTGTGTTTTATACTTATATGCATATATTTTTCTATATATGATATATGTACATACAAGCTAGATATGTAATAAAGTGAAGTATATTGCACGTGCTTTTTAGAATCATCGTCTAATTCTATTTCACTGCAGTGTTTTAGCGTGCAACAATTTAGGTAAAGGATAACGGGCCGTTATGAATCTGAAAGCGAGTCGCCATATTGGTATTTCTATAAAAAAAAAATGACGTCACAGTGGAAATCACCTTCTCACGTGACAAAATTTACTTCGGAAGGAACCAAGATGGGAGGGTTCGGGTAGGATTATACCCGAGATAAGTCGATATCTACCGATTGACTTTTCATTTCATTATTTCAGCAAGCTATCATGTGTATTGGCGGAACGTTATCTATTCCGTTCATCCTGTCCGGACTTTTGTGTGCCAGCAGTGGCGATGTGACGTCAACTCTGCTCAGCATAACCATGTTCATGTGTGGAATAGCCACCATTCTCCAGTGCTTGTTTGGTATACGGTAAATAAAACATTCGGAACACCTCGCCAATTACCGCTACTTAAAAATCAAAAGTTTGCTTGTCATAGTTAGTTCTATCTGTTTGAACCTGAATAACTAAAAAGTAGCCCGGACTACTATGATATCACGGTACTTAACATTTATAGGAAAATATTAAAATATAAATATTATACATGACAGATATTTTTCTTTTATCTAATAAGTGAACCTTTTCCAAAACTGTTTGTCAAAAAATTATTTCAAAAGATCTAATTAAATATCATTTTTTAAAACTATTTCCAATGTCTGCCATTTTGGGTAATTTCAGAGGAGGTTATTATGATATATTCAACATTCAAACTATATAAACAGATGATATGTCAGTATATGTAATTATAACATATTTTAATTGACTGTGTAAAAATATGACGATTTTATAAAATATTTTTCTTATCACGAATACATTCATTATTTACAAAATTGAATTTATTGGCAGATGAAAATGAATTTAGTGTGCCCGTTTTTAAAATATTATCCTGAGTTGCTTTAACTAGCAGTCACAGAAAACGTAAATACCGTGATATCATAGAACCCGTGATATCATAGGAACCGAGTACTTTCAAGTTAATTGATGAAGCTTAACTGGTTTTATAGAAATAGATATGAAGCACTTCTTTTAGTTTTACTCTGAGTTTGACTTCAGTGGACGTTTTTGAATTCAATTTTACACTTTTTTATGTTTAATGTTAAATTCTGCTTAAGCCGATACTACATTGAGGTTGGGAGGGGGAATTTTTGGCCGTCTTAAGGTTTCCACTTTATATATCATTTTCTTTTTAGCTACAGTTAATGACAGAAATAAAAAAGATCATTAATATTTAAAAATGCAAAGTAAAATAAAGTTGATAAAACTTTGTAACTAAAAAAGGGATATGGAGCTGTATAAACATACATCACAGGGCTATATATAAATGAGCCGCGCCATGACAGAACCAACATAATGCGTTTGCGACCAGCATTGATCCAGACCAGCCTGCGCATCCGCGCAGTCTGATCAGAATCCATGCTGTTCGCTTACAAACCCTATTACAAGTAAAGAAACTGACAGCGAACAGCATGGTTCCTGATCAGACTGCGCTGGTGCGCAGGCTGGTCTGGATCCATGCTGGTCGCAAACGCATTATTTTGGTTTTGTCATGGCGCGGTTCAAATATATTTAAAAGTCTGCATATATCTATCATTTTCCTTTGGTCATAATCATGAATTCAGTGTGGCTAACTGCCGTGATCCTGAGGAACACCACCACCGTCAGCATTGCATGTATTATTGCCATGGGAATGATACTGGAATTACCCAAATTAAGACCTTAAACGACAAACCCAACTTGCAAAATATACAAATTGCTATTACAATGTGCATTGTACAAAAACATATTTTGGTAGCTGGAATAAAACACATGTAATTAGTTTCTGTGGCATTTTACAGTGTCTTTGGTCAATATTTAGCTTGTACGGATTTTATTTCAGACTCGGTATTGTTCAAGGAGGTTCTCACACCTTTATTGCCCCCATTGTTGCAATGATGGCACTTGATAAATGGCGGTGTCCGGAATCCGGTATATTTTAGACTTTTTAAGTTTCACATTTTGTCTGGAGTTCATAACATTCTTTGTCTACGAGGCATTTGCTGTCCCAACAACGGTGCATATTTGCGTTTTCAGTGTAGATTAGTTAAATTTTATTATATATAAATAAACAGCAATACAATATGTTAGTAAAATTCACATTTTCATTTAAATGCATACGGACTCTTCATTGGTCTATTTAAGTTAACATTCAGAAATATTCTGCATTTAAACATAATTTTATCCTTTTTTCAAATATTTTCATCTACAAACAAAATAAATTTGAAAAAATACTACATTTTAAGACTCTGAGCAGCGACCACTAAATGATACAAGTGGGGTACAAGACGGGGATGAGATATGGCAAAGTCGGATGAGAGAGGTGATGTACAGTCCAGTTGCATTTTCAACTTAAAGTCAAACTGAAATTGAACTTATATTAATCACTTTCGACTCCGCTTCCTGGAACAAACAAGTACTGTTGCGATATGAGGAAACATGATCGTGACCCGAGCAGAGATCGAACCCACGATCCCTGGGTTCGAGAGGCAGCCACCTTAACCACAAGGCCACCGTTCTCCTTATTTATGTATTATCACAATACAAATCATGATTATGTCGGCTACAAACAAAAAACATATACACTAAGTGTGCATGTACAATGTAATAATATAATATCTTATGTTTGTCAATTTTGGTATGATCATGCTGAAATTTTCAATAAATTCAGTTGAGAGACATGATCTGATATTCCATGTATTGAGTTCAAAAGAAACACAAATTTAGCAAACATGCCCAGTAAATGTGCGTTATGAGCCAATGTCGCAAAATAAATGTATCATTGAAAATTATTCTAATATCGTATCTCCACCCTGACTGTTGATTTCAACCTGGCAGCGTTATCGCATGGATTTGACCCAATCTTAGATTTATTCCCTGTTGCACACTTTTCGCATATGCGTAGGCGATGGTTTGTGGCCATTGACAAAACTTCTTATGAGGCGGTTCATTCACCCCGTATAGCTTCTATCATATTTCCGTACAGCTTCTTTCACATTAAGGTCTATAGATTTTGGTGATATTTCAAGATTTCTTAAGACTAAAATCTATCCCAAAATTAAATGTACAATGAAATCAAACAGCTATGTTGTTATCAAAGTCAACATAAGCATGCGCGTTGATTAAAATAGAGATCACAGATATAATAAATTAGCGACATTTACATTTTATGCACAATAAAAGCAATTGGGTATGTGTGTTAAATTTGTGTTTGTTATGGAATTAAATAAATGGAATATCATACCATGTCATTGAAAATTCCAGCATGATAGGGTCAATATAGACTCACATTATAACAGATTTATTCATGCACACTTATAAGATTTGTGTACATGTGGAACGTTATTCAGGTAAAATAACACATGCCTGGTTAAGGTTACAATTTATTCACTAAAACCCTGAGGCACCTTTTTTATTGTTATGTGTGTAGTTATTATGCTTGCTGGTAGTTATTATGCTTGCTGGTAATTTCATCACGCTTGTTGCTAATCATACCGTGCTTGCTGGAAGTTACGTGATGTCTATATCTTAATATCATATTTTCAAAGACTGAATTAGCGTATACTTTTGCATCGTAAAGTTGCGATAGAATATCATAATTATATTGTATAAACAATGGATTTTGGACGAAAGGCAAATTACAACACGCAAGCACGCAAACAAATACATGTAGATCTTACCAGCAAACAAAAACACATCATTGTTAGTTAACATGTTGACATCGAAAAATAGAAAAAATAAAACAGCATTACATCACTGTTATATAATCCGTTTATATAGTTCCCAGAATATTCTGACTGACTTTTGACAAACTTTTCGTTCCATAGATCCAAGGCAACCTTATTGTCGCTTCAATCACACAGCTGGTGCTCGGCTGCACGGGAATGCTGGGTATAATAATACAATTTATAGGACCACTGACGATCGCACCTACCATATCATTGATAGGCCTGTCTCTTACAGGAGTAGCTATTCAGTTCAATAAGTACCAGTGGGGTATCGCATTCTTGTAAGTTATTATTTTCCCCTTTTTATTCGTATGTTCTCCATTCAGATTTTCAAAGATTTATATAGCGTTAACGCATTTTTGTAAGACATTATCCGACCTCCTTTCCCCGCTTTTTTTTCTTTCGCGTGTTCACCATCATTTTCACGATAGAATTCTGATAATTATATATTTATATAACAGTAATGAGATCATTAAGTAAAAAATAAAGCATTTGATACTTGTAATTATATAGACTCGATATGAAACTTGAGCACTGCAACGATGTAATTAAAACTGTGGAGCGATATGACAAGATTACCCGTTGTTTTTTACAATTTTTGTTAATTACAAATGCTTTTACTGCAGTTAAACAGACGTATCTGGTACAATATGCTTTTTTGTTGTTATTTAACTATATTTACGTAAATTTATATTTCTCAAGGTCACTGAGCCTGACATTGGTGTTCTCGCTATATCTTCGTGAGATTAAGATTCCACTTCCGGCTTATAACCGGAAGCGGGGTTGTCGTCTGGTTAGATATCCGCTATTCCAGCTATTTCCAGTAAGAAACCTTTATTGTCTTTCAGTTTTACGTATTGTTTTATAATGAAAATCAACTGGGATCGGAGCACTGTACATGTGTTGCCTTTTACCAGTTGGGTATTATTTACAATTAAATGCATTGCAAATAGTACATGTAATTTTATTTCATTGCTGCGAGATACATGTGTGTGTAAAAATATACAAAGATGACGAAAACAACAAAAGCAAACGGGTTGGGCAATACTTTCATTTTCAATATCAGTTTAAGTAATTACTAGTATAAAGTTAATCATTGATTTTTCGGAAGGATAGCAGAAATAGTCAAAATGAGAGATTCTGTAAAAGGGTTGTTTGTGAGGTTGTTATACAGTGTTGAGTACAATACTGAATTCTGTCGGACAAACTTTTAAAACTACATTGTATATTGTACGAGGCGCTAGCCGAGTCTGATATAGGTTTTGCAGCCTTGTACGAGTCCAATAGAATCAGTATTTTCCTCAATAGTGTATAATGAACTTTTTACAGTGCATTTCACATCAGCATGTTTTGACATATGACAGAATATGGTTGCTTTAATTACAATCAGGATTTGATATCGATTTTTGACTCACAAAAATGAAACGAGGCTATATGGAGTATGATATGCATTTTCAAAGATAAAGATTTTTTGGACTCTAAAAATGAAAAAGAGGCTACACGGAGTGCGATATCGATTTGAAAATAACATTTTTGACTCTGGCTATATGGTGTGTGATATAGATTTGATATGATTTTGTTTGGACTCTGGAAATGAAAACGAGGCTAAATTGATAAGTGATAAGACTGGATTCAATAACGATTTGTATTGGAACAAGACGTGGGGCAAAAGGTGAAAGTTCATTGTTTATATTTTTTTAATGTGTGAAATAAAGTTAGATATTTTGTTGTTAGTAAACCTACGTCATATTGTCATTGATAAAATATAATACCACATTAAAAAAAATAAAAAACACAAAGATACGTATTTTTGCGAAAAACGAAATTACTTAAATCAGCCACAATAACTATCACAGTTTTATATGGTGGGTGATTTATGCCATGTCTTTTTTGCTTCTTCGCTTTGAGAAAACGTAAATGCGAAAATACGAAAATGTGTCAAAGTCAAACTTACGACATTGCGTAAATCAGCCACCATAGTTTCCAAATAGGCTTAGTACTGTGAGAGTTCTGGCCAAAATGAAATTAGTTACAGTTTTTACTCCGAAACAATATTATTTTATAATATCCTATTAGTCGGTGTCCAGTTTGTGCCACTTAAATTGTGTCTTTCAGAGAACTTCGGCTATGCTCGACAATATTATACGGTGTTCCGTATGGACACTCGTGATTTTTATTTCGTCCCTACCCGCGATTCACGATGGTGAAAACGCGATGGTACGATGATGAAAACACGATTGTACGATGGTGAAAACACGATGGTACTATGGTGAAATCGCGATGGTACGATGGTGAAAACGTACGGTGTTCCGTTTGGACAATCGTGATTTTTTATTTAGTCTGTACCGCGATGCACGATGGTGAAAACACGATGGTACGATGGTGAAATCGCGATGGTACGATGGTGAAATCGCGATGGTACGATGGTGAAATCGCGATGGTACGATAGTGAAAGTGCGATGTTACGATGGTGAAAACACGATGGCGCGATGGTACGATGGTGATATAACATCGCGTTTTCTCCATCGTACCATCGCGATTTCACCATCGTGCCATCGTGTTTTCACCATCGTACCATCGTGTTTTCATAATCGTACCATCGCGTTTTCACCATCGTACCATTTTGCATCGCGGGTAAGGACGAAATAAAATATCACGATTGTCCAAACGGAACACCGTACGATATTGATTCCTCGCTAACATTCTAAATGTCCCAGTCATGACATCGCACACTATTTACATAATTTGAGCCGCGTCACGACAAAACCAACATAGTGGGTTTGCGACCAGCATGGATCCAGACCAGCCTGCGCCTCCGCGCAGTCTGATCAGGATCCATGCTGTTTGCTATCAGTTTCTCTACTTGTAATAGGATTTGTAAGCGAACAGCATGGATCCTGATCAGACTGCATGGATGCGCAGGCTGGTCTTGATCCATGCTGGTCGCAAACGCATTACGTTGGTTTTGTCATGACGCGGCTCAAATGTCTGACATTGTTTAGACACATGCGCTTAGCTTGAAGTTGGCTAAAATATGTTATGCATATCAATAAAACTTAAACTTTTCCGTTTGTATTTGTACGTAAATACTAAAGTAGTTATAGCATAAGCTACACTTTCTTTAAATCATTTTACAGGTTATTTTAAGCATATGCATAAGCTGGTTGTTTTGCCATATTTTAACAATTACTGACGTTTTCCCGAACAATTCTACAATACCAAGTTACATGGCAAGGACAGATTCAAGATTAGAAATTCTAGAAAGGGCACCTTGGTTCTATTGGCCGTATCCTTGTAAGTACAGGCATATATTGTTTTAAGCAACATACATTAAGGTAAATAACTAAACATTTTCATTCAATAATTCATTTATAATGTATCAATAGAATTGTATAAACTGACATACAAATCAGGATTATTTCATTGAATTAAACAACGCAATAAAATTTTCATATTTCTAGTTCAGTTTGGTATTCCGACTGTCAGCGCAGCCGGTTATGTTGCATTCCTGGCGGCAACTATATCGTCTATCATCGAGTCGGTGGGGGACTACTACGCCGCTGCCCGTATATCCGGTGCTCCCCCGCCTCCAGCACATGCCCTCAACCGCGGTATCGCCATGGAGGGATTGTCCAGCATCGTCTCTGGCATGGTTGGTTCTGGACACGGGACTACCTCATATAGCCAGAATGTCGGGGCGATAGGTATAACAAAGGTATGATATGCGAGGCAGAGACATTTAAATAAATTTGTACGTCATACTCAACGTCATCATGGACAATGATAACTTCATTCAAATAATGTTATACAAACGGTTAATCTTTCTCCATCTAACATTAAAATAAAGTTATGCGTTATCTATTTAAGTCCGACAGTTCAGAAAACTAGATTACATTGTACTTGTACCACTCCCGACAGTGCCTCCTGAAACCAACCTATGAGGAAACATGGTCGTAATTCCAATAAGACTCAAACTCACTATCCCTAGTTTGAGAGGCGGAACACCTACACCAAAAAGTCACTGCTCCTTTGTCAAAACGAAAACTTAAGAAAAACAAAACAAAAATCTGTAATACGCCACTTCTTATAGTTTTCTTTATGTATAAAAGATACAGCATATTTTATTCAACAAAACAATCTGTTTATTTTAATAAAAACAATTTGTTTTTCAACAATAGTTTGATCCAAATAATGTGTTTATAGGTTGCAAGCAGGGCCGTCTTCCTGACAGCAGGGCTTATATTAGTTTTCTGCGGTGTGGTTGGGAAATTTGGGGCCGCATTGACGCTGATTCCAGATCCGGTCATTGGCGGGACACTGACAGTACTGTTTGGGATCGTTTCTGCTGTCGGTTTATCTACTCTTAAGTTTATTGACATGGATTCGACAAGAAATCTAACAATTTTAGGAACGGCACTCATACTTGGCCTGATGATACCACAGTACATAAGTAATCCTGAAAATGCGGCATTAATTGATACAGGTATGCTACATGTATGTAGTTATTATCTAAAATTATACACCATGAATCTTATTTTTTCTGATTGATTCTTAAACATTTTTAGTGCACAAGTGATACACACAACTGTATTTACGGTTAAACACGGTGTTCATTCACTTTGTGTATTTTCAATTTTTGTCCGTATACTCTTCATTTATTCTTCTTATTTAATGAAACATTTCTTTTTCTGTATCAAAATCAGTAGATCTTGAGTCACATGCAAAACGTTGTATGAGACATTCTAAGAAGTTTTTTCTCTCTAAATCTTATAGATGTCCATTTCAAATGACCTATTATATAACCGGTTCAACACCCATCTGCAAATCCGAGAAATTTTTTCAGCATAAACTTGCATATTTTCTCATGATACTTTTTACTTGACCAGTTTTGCACAATGCAAGGACCATTTCCGGATGCGTTTTGCATTTATTGCGTTTAGTATGCACCCCAAAATTATTTATCTTATGGACAAACTTGAATAGTATATGTTTATCGGTCATAAAAAAGGAAAAAGAGAGTGGGAAAAATGATTCTATAATTCATTGATATACGTAACTATATTTCAGGAAACAGCGAGTTAGACCAGGTTATAAAAGTGTTATTAGGGACAGCTATGTTTGTTGGTGGCGTCGTTGGTTTTATTCTGGACAACACTGTCCCAGGTATACCTATTTCATGTGATTACCTGTCATTCACAAATTACATTTACTTAATATTCAGTTTTGTTTTGTTTGACTCCACTGAGGTCTTAAAGCATATAAACATAAAATTTGAATTTCTTACACAAATAAACTTGAAAACTTCAAACAGAAAGATGTGCAAATCTAATTTTAGTCGAGAATAAAGATATCTATTTCCCTAGTGGCTGAGTGGTTGCCTTTAATGGTTGAATCATCCGAATTGCAACCACGGTTTATCCCTTCGTGATCGTAAAAGGCGACTAATTGGGTTTGAATAATTGAAGTTTGTGCATCTTTTAGCTCCAGCCGGTGAGGTGGTTTTGACACATGCACTTGCTTTAAGTTTTTTACACCCAAGGTCAGCCAAAATCATTTTTTACTGTTTCGGCACCATATGACCTAAATTGCCTTGGTGTGCCGTAAATCCAAACAAAACAAACAAAAAAGATATCCAAGGTATTGTATAACATTGTTTTCTTCTTGGGCTTCAATTTTATATTCTTAAACCGCAAATCAAGATAAAATACCGGATCTTTTCAGGCACAGATGAAGAAAGGGGCATAATCGCATGGCGTAAAAGTCTTTCATCATCACACGACACCGAAACAGCAGACAGCACTGCCCTACAAATGTACGAATATCCCTACGTTACAAAGTATCTTAGAAAAATTAACTGCTGCACATATATCCCTGTGTCACCCGTGTTCAATAAAAATATAGAGTTTAATTGTTCTTGCTGTCACAGAAATAAAAAACAAGAGAATATAACTGAAGTCGGGTACGACAACAAAGCAGCGTTTGATGAAGACAGTACCGCAGAAAATTCAAGTAGACTTTGAGTAATGCTGGAATAGCAGTGCCGCAGAAAATTCAAGAAGACTTTGAGTAATGCTTGCACACCTTTGCCACCAGTGGGACAAGTTTACTTCTTTAAAAAGAAGCATGCGAGAGGTCTTTTTGCAGCTGTTGAAGATTTGTATATTTTGAAAATATTTGGAGATATAAAAGGCACCAGAGATTTTCAAAAACGAGCATAAAGTATGTAAATCAAACAATTTTAAATCCCAGATTTACATTAATAATGTATATATCATTTGATTGGAATAAACAATATATACTGCTGCATGCCTTCAACCACAATGTGGCAAGAAAATCAAACTTGAGAAAAAGTTGTTCCATTTTCGCCATTTGCGCCAAAAAATCTCCGTTGCGTTATTTAGTCATACCAGTTCAAAGGTGAAAGTAGCAGCAAATTTTCGGTACACTGTTCACTTGGTCATATAATAGTACATGGTGCTTTAATGTTCACTGTTCCTAATTTTCAAAACACGAAATAGTAAAACGCTATTCAGACAACAAGTATCGATTTATACAGTTATAAAGGATTAAAAACGGAATGAACCATTACTCGTAGTGTTTTAGTAACATAAATGATATTTTCCGATTTTTCCTGGTACCGATTTGTTCACATCGATGTTTATTTTTCGTTTAAGTGAGGCGGAGCATGCGCATAACAATTTTTGTAGACTGATTCTAATGTTTTAAGGCTTGAAATACAATGCATTAGCTTCAATTTGATACGCAAAAAAGGATGCCGCCAGCAATCATTCTCAACACTGTGGAGAGGTCTGATGACCTCTCAAATAAAAAGCCTTTTGAGAGATTTATAGAACTAAAATTTGATTAAATGTAACAATTTTTTTTAACGTAGATGTCTCAATTGTTTAGTAATATCGGGAAAATGACGGTTTTAGAATGGAGACATCTACGTTAAAAATCGTTACATTCAATAAAATTTGAGTTCTATAAACCTCTCAAAAGGCTTTTTATCCCGAAAACAAGTGCCTATGACGGAGACAGGCCAGCCTGCACATCCATTTTATATTTGTATATAGCTTAACTTTTCGGTATACAGGAATGTAGATCATGTGCAATGAATTTATATTAACTTTGAAATATACCGGTATTATATTATTATATATAAATAAACATACTTTAACAAAATGTACATAATTTAACGAACTTGAATGATTTTACACGGAATTGTTAAAAAATAAGCTTTCAGTATGCCAGTATTAGTGTTTTTATTTGTTTGTTTATTGTGTGGGGTGAGGTGGGGATAATAATATATTTAAATAAGTACAAGGAATTCAAGGGGTCGCAGGTTCTATCCCCCGCTCCTTAAACTAACACTATTAATGTTCATTCGGATGAGGCCTTAAAAGAATCGAGGTTTCATTGGAATTGCACTACACAGAAAAAAACAACAACGGAACTACAAGGGTACATTGCATTAAGAGTTTAATAGTTTATTGTCTCATTCCAAGCATGTCATATATACAATACATCACAATATTCAATCATATTAAAATACATGTTGGACCAATCTCGATAGATTTATAGGAGACATTTAAAAACATGATGATACTTGTAAAATATATTCTATAACTAAAAACCAATTTACTTTATAACCAAGTTACATGTACATGTATATATAACATACAATTTTGCTTATTCCTTCATGAAAAATCAATATACTTCAAAAATAATGCCCAGAATATTTGTGACAATACTACTGCAATTAACTTGTTATGTGAGTGAGGCCAAATATGTTCATACAAAAGCGTAAGTTTAGTGCAGCATACATGTACCCAGCATTGCTGTATAATTATAATTATGCAGTAAAAGAGTAATGATGTTCCAAAATGAATGAGTATATCATAAAGTATAAGGTGTGTAACCCAATAAGCACCTGACTGTGAAAGGTGTGTGACCTAATATATTCGAATAAGTACATAATTATGCTAAATGTGTGATCCAATAAGTACATGATTGAACATGGTGTGTGACCCAAATTACAAAATTGTGCATGATGTGTGATGTGTTGCATTATGGGCAACCACAAGCGACAGTAAATAAAGCAGAAGAGGGGGGGGGGGGGCGTGATAAATTACTTAGGTGTTTGAGCGCATGTGTAATACATTGGAAAGGGTGAAAATCGAATATAAAAGTGTACACGATATAACATTCACGTTAATTTAACGTTAATGCGTTGATATTTGTACTACTTTTTGTAGCACACAAGTAAACATTACTCATGTCACTATAGACTGGTACTATATAAAGCATGACATGAAACCAATCGGAATAACTCGGCTATTATCAATAACAAGTAAAATGGTTTCCTGCGAGGCATTTTTAATGATATAAAGATATTTCATTTAACTATCTTCAACATTGTTGGGGGGATAAATAAACGTTTGTATCAGGAATATAGTTAACAATAATCGATCAATATAGAAGAAGGTCTTTGGAAACTGATGACCGTTGAAGACCGGAGAAGGCCGAAGATAAAACAATTATTTCTTTTAAAGAAAATGATTAAATAGGCCTACCATTTTATGAATTATTCCGAGCAAAAAAAAATAAAGTAAACACACAAGTTTACGCAGAAAATATCTCTATTTATCATGGCAGATGCCACTACGAATATTTTAAGTTTGTAGATTTTCAGTATTTGTAAAATTTGAGATAGATTTTAAAGAAACATTGATAATTTTCAAACACATCATTCATGTTTTTTCACCCTAAACGGTAAAATAATTATAGAAAATTAGAAATATCACGTAATAGTTTTTTATCGGACTAATTCCCTAAAGGTAAATCCGTAACGTATCGGCAAACGGTATTTAGCTAGGTTTTCGAAAAGGTCAATTAACCAATCATGTACGGTTTACAGATCACATGCTCCTCCATGTACCGAAAACAGGTCACGTGCTCCTCCATGCCTCAAAAGTTAAACGCGTACCAATACCCTGCGGTCTCCAGACCGTAGGGAATAATTATCTTCTCATTCGACGTTTGACGAAAGAAGATTGAGCAAGAAACATCCGGTGACCTCTATTATCTCATTGGCTAAGCGACTTATGTTAATACATTTGGCTGCCATTTAAATGATAAATATATACCATGTGCCAGGCAAATATTTACCAATTCCTTTAGTATATACAATTCCATTGTAGCTCTTTTACTTTTCATGTTACGCATGCATAAATTTATCTAGGCGGCAAATTTTGATGAAAATATGCTGTAGCATATTGTGTCACAAATATTCCACAAGTTTGTTCAGTAGTTCTGTGAAACGGCATTCAAGAAATTGATGCTTTTTTTTATATATTATTTGAAAGTTCTTTTGCTGATATTTTTTAAAAAGCATCGAACTATTTTATGCATGACGCGTATGCATGCATGGATATTGTAGTTGTTGGGCATATTTTTTGAAGACGATGACATATGAAGGCGATATCGCTGGAAGATACACGCATTTTGTAAGCATCGTGTGTTGTCTTTTTTACATTTATTACAGTGTTTAAATGTATAAATTACCTAAATGATTGACAATCGTCATCAATGTCAAAAATATAACATTATGTACCAATTAGTGTCAATTAGCTTGGGCTATCAAATAACGTAATTAAGGCGGGAAATTGTATGCTGTACATCTTACATTATACAACTAATGTATAAGCGACATATATATTTGTTTGTTTTGTCTTATTCTCTAGTTTTGCACATTATTTAGGTTATTGGTTAATACATTTTTAAATATATTATTGTCCCAAAAATGAGTGAATTGATGGTGCGTACAGATTTGTAACATATTTCCTATATTACATACAATACATGGTAAACGGACATTTGCCTCCTCAACGAACAGTTGCCCACGTGACGTTTGCACCATTTTTCAGTGGCGGACATTTGCCCTCTCATATCTTTGTATTAAAAGAAAATAAGGGATGACATTTGCCCCCCCCCCCTTTTAAAAAAATGCTCAAATATTTAATTCTTTGTTATACCGTAGACGAAGCACAGAAGTGATGAAATCGCCGCGATACTTTCAATATAAATTTCCTCAGAAGCAAGATTTAGAACACCTAGATATACGTTTCTTTAGTGACATAATATTTAAGTATTCTTTTACAATTTAAGTTTATGTACTAGTATGCTATAATAATTAAGGATAATGCATATAACAAAACAAACACATGCTTAAGATCACTGAACAAATTGCTAACCAATTAATTTATTATGTTCAATTTATTTCGCAGAACCATAATATAACGGTCATATGGAGATTTTCAAAATCATTGGCAAGATTTGAGCCAACATAAGTCAGGGGCAAGTTCCTTGATGACCACTCGGTCCTAGTGAAAATGCCAGAAAAGGTTAGTGTATGTCATACATCACTTGAAATGCAGTTGTAAAAAATAAGTAGTTAATTTGTAAATTTTATTTTAACCCTTTTAACAGAAAATGGCTGGTCAGGGTAATATTTTCTCGATTTACAGAGAAACACACTTCATCAAACAACCGCTGTCCAAAGGTGACCTTTGTCTATTTATAGAAGTCGTCAATTAGTGATTTAGAGTTAAATAAAGTGATTGGTTTATTTGCGTGGGTTTAATGAAGATATCAAAAGCAGTTACAAAAATAGCAACAAACAAAAAGGTCAAATGCATTTCTTATCTTCATATTGACATTTATGTGCAAATCATTACTTGTAAAAATATTTTTATTTGGCGCCGACGAAATATAAAACGAACTGTCATATTCTCCGTTGTTTTTGCTTGTCTAATGGTATAATTCGGCGGCTGCGTATGAATCATAGTTGGTTATTATATGCCACGCGTGAATTTCGTGCAAGAATATAATGTCCAACCGCTTACACATCTAATGTTGTATTATATGCATTCTAACCGCCTCCGTGGTCGAGGTGTTAGAGTAGATGACTTCTAATCCAGTTACCTCTCTGGCGTGGGTTAGATCCCCTGGAGATGCTTTGGTAGTTTAGCGCGGAGGAAGGTAGTCTAGTACTGGTGTAACTCTCCAAGAACGATGGTTAGGAAACTACCCGCCTATATGACTGAAATACTGTTGGAAAAAGGCGTAAAATGGAACATACAAACAAACGCGCATATAAGTAAATGATGCCGGTATTACGTTAGGATTTTACCGAGAAACAACCTAAAACTCCGAATCCATCCAAAAAATTAATCGAAGCTTGGCTTCCAGCTTTCTACAAAATTTATCTGGCAGGGCTGGAATCCAAAATTATTTAGCCAATCAAATTTAATCTTACATAGCGTCAAAAAACCTTCAATTTTCACGCCATTTTTAAAAAGCAGCAAGTATTGCTTTGAGCGCAAAGATATAATGATGATTAAAATGTTTGTTTTCATGAATTCTTTTCAATAAATCATATTTACACTGACTTTTGATTTAGCGATTTCACCTGTTTTCTCTGTAGTAAGTTTTCGTTTGGTTAATTAACATAAGTGTACATCTGGTTCTGTGCATTTTTTCTTCTTATTTTTTCCGGTCATTTTATCCTTTCTGGTATTTAGGGTGGGGGGAAAATCCCGGAATCCGGGACGCCCGGGATCCGGGATAGTATTAGATATATAGGGAAAAGGAATAAACTATATTTG